CCTGTGAACACGGCACGTCCCGGTCTCATGGGAAGTCCTAAGAAAGTGACCAAGCCATTCGAAGCCATTAGTTGTGATCTATTGGGACCCTTTCCAAATTCAAGAAATAGGAATACTTATTTAATAGTTGTATCAGATTACTTTAGTAAATATGTCATGTTGCACCCTATACGGTCAGCAACAGGCATGGCTGTAGCAAACTTTATAGAAAAATATGTATTTTTAGTCCATGGCGTTTGTAAGACCATCTTTATTGATAACGGTCCACAATATGTTAGCACCCATTTTAGACAGCTTTTAACTAAATATAATATACCTAACATATACTATAATCCTAGGTACCATCCCCAAACTAACCAAGCTGAGCGGGCAAATAGAAACATAGTACATGCGATAGCCTGTTATGTAAAATCTGAGCATAGAAGATGGGATGAACACTTAATAGAATTGCAATGTGCTTTAAACACGGCTGTGAATGAAGCAACTAGATTTTCACCCTATTTCCTAGTCCATGGTAGAGAGTATATAATAGATGGTAATTTATATTTAAATTCCTTCCCTCCATGTCCGTTAGATCAAATTACCTCAGACAGTGCATTGGAGTATGGGAAAAAGCTGCTTGAACTTAATAATATCTTCCAAAAGGTGAGGAAACATTTAATCGTTGCCCACCAACGGAACGAAAAACAATATAACCTCATAAAAAGACACATTGAGTTAAGAGTTGGCCAGATAGTGTATAAACGTACTCATTATTTATCCAATAAGGCAAAGAATTTTTCTTCCAAATTAGCACCAAAATTTATTAAATGTGTAGTGACGGCTAAATTATCACCTTTAGTTTATACTTTAACCGATTTAAATGGTAAATGTTTAGGTAATTATCATATTAAGGATATACTAAAATATTCTGAACAACAGAACTAATAAACCTTTGAATCCCTTATAGAATGCTTATTTTAGTCACTTTCAGTATTAATCGCTTGGCTAAGAAGAGTTAAAGTATAGGAAAAGTGCATATGGAAATCTGTGGGCTACGGTTCGAAACCTGCCAGAAAATTAAATTGTTTTTTTAACTAAATATATATTTATTTACAAACCTTTTTAACCTATATGGTCATTTTTAAAAATGCTTAAATGAAATTTCGAGGAATTTTAATATTTTAACACAAAAAAAAAAAAAAAAAAAAAAAAATTAATATAATATTTTCGTCAAGTTGTGTTTACTGATATGCATATGAGTATGAGAGTAGTATAAAATGCGTGATGTATGAAAAGTGTTTTCCAAAATAAGCACGTGCAATTTATTTTAAAATACTAAATAGAAAAATAGGTCTTGATGTATGAAAGGCATAAGCATAAGGAAGTGTACATATACTTTAGACTTGATAATTAAAGATAGGAAGATTGTTGGAAAATAATCTTAATCTTTTAAGTTTGAAATCATACAAACTTCTTTAATCTTGAGTTGTTTTCTTAACTACCTTAAGTTCATAAGATGAACAGAAAAATCATGCTATACCCCTTGATAATAAATCCAAGAATGGGATTTACATGCAACTAAAAGAAAAATCTTTAAACAGCAAATATTTAATTGTTGCTATTGACTTCGAGCTTAGAACATTACGTGTAGAAAAAAGTGGTTACTCGCGTATATGATTAAAAATTTTTTTTCTTGGTTAATACTTAGTATTGTTGATTTGTCTGTAGGCCTGATGCAGGTTAGCTGAATTAAAAAAAATTTTTTTAGGAAAAATTTTTTGAGATAAGAAGGGTGTGTGTAGCAATATAATTTTAGAATATTAAGTTGTAGAAATATTACTAATCAAAGCGCCATCTATCACCATACGTATCCATCATCTAACAATGTAATTGGTTTTAAAGAAGCACAGAATATATTATAAAAAAAAATATGATAGTTGTATTTGAATGATGAGATAGATGGAGTTGTATTTAATAGTGTTAAATGAAATTACACGTATTGATGACGTGATTAGCTATTGTTCAGGAAGCAGTTTCTTGGAGGGAGATGGGCGTAGCCGTATTAACCGGTCCTGTCAATTCCTCGCACCAAATATGGTGATTTGAGAGAAATTTGCTAGGACGCCGTCACGTGATCCTAGGCCACTATAAATAGCTTTGCGCAGACGATTTCACTCTCTTTTGTCTGCGAACAGAACACTTGAACATCTAGTAAATTGCACAGTGACTGGAAAGTATAGTCAGTGCATAATTAATTAAAATATTTTCCCCGGATTAACGGGTAAGTCCAATATAACTAACTGTTTAGGCTGTAGGTCAAGTTAGGTTTTTTTATTGAACTATAGAAAAATGTGTAATTGTTTCTAGGTCCTTTGAAGTGGCTAATTAAAAACAGTATACGATAATCACAATTACTTGATCCTGGTTGGGATTTCTTTGGAAATATATATATAAATATAAATGAGCCTGTGAAGCATTCTTGATCGAAAGTAGACGGGTTCATGTGATGACAGCACGTCCTGATTCATTCCTGAGGACATTTGAGTCACCTTGATGTTCCCGTGGTCTTAAAGCTAAGTAAAACTTATACCTTCTCAATATTTAACCGGTGCATACTCCGAAGAACAAAATTTCTGTTTAACGTAATAAAGTATTTATATTAGTAAACTATAAAGCCACTATAAGAAGAATTCAAATTTCATTACATATTGTTTGTTATTTTCCAAAACCAAATGTTTATATAAAATGTTTAAATAAATATTTCTGCATTTACACATGTTCTTGAATGTATGAACATCACTGAAGTTAAAATCTTTGAGGTTGTAAAAGCTGTATATTTATAAAGTTGTCTATAAATAGTATTAATTTTGTTAAGTATGATGAAATAAGATCTGAATATTAACAATATATATCTTGTTCACTGCGGTTCTTGACATTTTTATTTATCTCCCTCAAATAACAGTATTACGGCGCCCTGAATATAGAATCTTTTAATCTTGAGTCTCATGTAAACCCTGAAAAAGTCGGTGGTAACTAAAATTGTTACAGTCTAATAAGTGCAACACCCGCATCCGTTGTTGATCTACCCCTAGTTAAGCCAAATTGATTATTATGTAACAGTTTGTTCAAACTGACATGCGATAATAATTGATCTAAAATATTTTTTTCGAAAATTTTATTTAATAATAATAATAATTTATAGTATTCCATACCCATTATAATCTCCTCAGTAATGGCAACGGCACTGCCCGATAGGTCCCTGTCACTGAAGCAGCGCTGCTTCCAAGGGACGGACGCAAAGTAATCACGCATACCGTCCCAATCTGCCGACCCATAATGCCAGATACGGCGCTTGACCACTGCTGGATGCGGAGGCTTGGCCTGTGGTGCTTTGGCAGATATCAGGCAGTGGTCGGACGAGCCCAGGGGGGCTCTTACCACAACCTGATAGCCCTGTGGATGGGTCGTGAGCAGAAGGTCCAGTAAAGAAGGCACTTGACTTGGAATATCTGGGATCCTGGTGGGCTGATCAACCAGTTGCTTCAAGTCATGCGTGAGAGCGAATGTGTGAGCAGAGATCCCTGCATGGTCAGTTTTGGAAGAACTTAACCACAAATTGTGGTGAGCATTAAAGTCCCCCAAAAACACCAATTCTGCATTGGGAAATCGCTCCTGCGCGTCATCTGCTGCCCGACTAAGGTGTTTAAAAAGTCGAGTTGTCTCAACATCGCCGGTGTGGGATCTGTAGAGGCACACTTAGACTCTGGCCCGGGGGCCAGAGTCGACGTGTACCTCCAGCATAGAGAAGGAGGGATCTTCCAAGCTGCGGAGACGGCGACAACAAACATCCGCCCGAACATACAGGCATACACCGGCTTTCGCTTTGAAGGACTCTTCAAGCACGTAGCCGGGATAATTAAGGTAGCCTGTGTCAGCAGGCGGAAGTATTTGTGTCTTCTTCAAAATTCAAAAAAATTCAAAATTCAATATCGGTTATTCATTCTAGGCTGTTACAAGCACTTGTGAATGTCGAAAAGCTACGCCATCGGTTCGCAAATCTACGGCGGGAGACCTTGTACTGAGAAGAACCGGCAAGAAACTCAGCAAGGGCTGTTTTTTTCTCCCTGTATTGTATACAGAGTCGTCAAATTGAAAAATGACTTCAATATGAGGTAACTCATAAAGTCACTTTCCATTACAAATGCTAATATAATAAAAATTATGACTATATAAAAAACTGGTTTAACAAAGTTTAGAAATGCCGTGTCCTGCTGTTTAGGCAAAAAAAAATGAACGATTAAAGTTTAGTACAACGGTTAATAGTATCCAATGAAGCAAGAGCAGACTCATCTCCGCTGGCAGCACCCGTACACGAGCATGACGCACGAACCAGCCATCGCTTCGCTCAACCACTTTTTAGGGAACGCAACGACCCGCCTCACACGACACTACCAAAGAGTCAGGAACAACAATGCTGGCCGTGCTGTCTCGAGATGGTGGTGGACAGCGTTGAGGTTAGAGTGGAGTCCGCGTATGTTGCAGAACTCGACCTCAAATTTCAATTCTATCCGTTACCCTAGTATCCCATAACACAAGCCTACAGTGCTTACTTCGTGGCTAGGCTAATTGGTGTGAGTGTTAGAAATATTTATTTATTTATTGTGCTGTGAGAGATTGCGTGTCATCAACTAGTAAATGACAATTTGAAATTATAAAGAATTTGAGTTTGATATTCATAGTTTGTGGAAGGGGCGGCCCCGTCTTTTTCAATAAAATCAATATGACTATCGTATTTATGGTCGAGGATGTCAATGCCAAATTGCCAATTCAAAATATAACACAAATGTCAAGATACAAGATAGTAGACTCGCCATTTTAAAATAAAATCATCACCGTCCACTGCGAAAGTTACTTAACTTCAACGATCGCAACCGAACGCATTAACCACTTGCGCCATCGAGCTCCTCATTGCAATGAACTACCTCTAATAAAGAACTTATCAATGGAATACAACTTACCTGGACGTGTGAGTCCTTAACAGAAGAACCACTATCGTTCGCAACGTAGTTCCTCAAAGATCCCAATGACAATCTCTCCTCCATGCTGACGGTTGCAGTCATTCTGTCCTGGTCTGTCACTACCTGGGTGAGAGAGAAAATGAAATCGCTGATTCATGAGGATTAGGAGGACACAAATTACACTGGTTAACAAATTTTAAGGTTTTGTTAATCCATGAAATGAGTTGTGCTAATTGCGAAAGAATACCTCTAAACATACATTTTGATGTAAGTTTTAAGGTCGAGTTAGCTCGCGTTTTTTGTGGAATCAAATAAAAATCTTTTGACTTAAGATAACATTTTATTCATAAATCACGTATTATAAAATTTAAAAATGAGTTAATATATTGCTTTTCCGTTTATAAATAATATCTACAGCCTCTCTCTTCAATGCCCAGCAGTAGTCTGCTAACATAGCAGGACTCCATTTGCCCTGGTATCGCTGTTCCATGCCTGAAATATCCTGGTGAACGTTTTGTTCACCATGTTCGTCGCTAACATCTCCCATATTTTCAGGACAAAAATCCAAATGTGAGTCGAGAATATGTATTTTGAGGGACATTTTGCAACCGAGAGCGTACAATGCTTGGATCATATTCTTTACCAGGTTTTCATAGCCTTCAGATTTTTTTTTACCCAAGAAATTTTGAAAAACTTTTATCATGGATGTCCAGGCCTGTTTTTCCTTGCTATTCAATGTGCTTTCAAAAGTTTTGTCATTCATTAATTCTTTTATTTGAGGTCTTATGAAAATTCCTTCTTTTAACTTGGCATCTGTCATTTTTGTAAACTTTTGTTTTTAAATATTGAAAAGCTTGACCTTCGCGATTCAGTGCTTTTACGAAGTTTTTCATGAATTCTAATTTTATATGCAGAGGTGGTATAATGATATTTTCTTTTTGGACTAAAGGTGGATAAAAAAACATTTTCAGTTCCTGGTGTAAAAGCTTTTCGTAACGGCCACACTTTTTTTATGTAATGGTTTTTCCTGTCGCGACTGTCCCAAAGACACAAGAAACAGCAATACTTTGTGTAACCCTGTTGCATGCCCAAAATGATTGCAATCACTTTAAACTCTGCACATACTTTGCAAGAATATCTTTCATATTTTATCATTTGTAATAGATGTCACAACAAAAACTAAAAACAAAATTTGTTTGATACACTTAAGACGTTGCTGTATGTTACAGTGCTATTACCGCGTCATACACTAATTGTATTTTCACGGTGTTTGATAGCGAATGCCAGCGCAATCTTAACGTTCTTTATGATGTATTAAATCTAGTAAAGTAAAGCCGTGCTATAATAACGAACAAATCGAAACTTGCGAGAGTACGGCGAATGCAATACAAGATTAAACTTGCATAGCTCGATAACTCGAGCTAAGACAGTTGTAATATTATAATTGATGATTAGTATTTACCAAGTACTGCCTATTTTTGTATTTCATCATTCATGGGCAAAACCATTGTTAACCAGTGTTATTAGTCATGTGTAGATAACGTTAGATGGTATGTAATCCAAAATTGCGAAGTGCCACAATAAAACGCACAATGCTACCACAAAATGTAAAAATTCTTCAAGCAACATTGAACTTAACTTCTTTCGCTATTATTTGTTAATTTGACAGCAGTTCCAGCAGTATATGCTTATCATGCTCTATCGGGAATGAAAAGGAGTCAAAGGAACTTGCTGTCAAGTTAACAGATAGCAAATGGCAAACACGAATAGCCATGTGAAGTGCCATCACTAGATTTATGATATCAAATATCAGTACTTTGTCAACACCACTTTTTTCGGAACTAAGTACGCTGTAATGTTTTCGTTTCCGCTGCTACAGCAGTCTTTTTTTAACCGTCTTCAAAACATAGGTGGTTTTCTAATCAGTTGGCAATTTTTAAGTTGGAACTACCTAACAAGTCCTTCTCACCTGTTTTCCCCTCAGCATCGCGTCCAATACGTGTGTGGGCATCTTCATCTGGTCCTGAATGGCGGCCAGCGTAGACATGAGCCTGTTCACCGTCGACACCAGGAACATGATGTTTTGCATGGCGCGCCATACTTGCCAGAGTCTCGTGAATAGTGGCTGAAACATTTTAGTTCATGTGCCTATATATTGAAAACTAAAATGTCCACGGCCCACCTAATAGTAAGCGTCTACGCTATGATCTTTGAACAGTTTTGTTGATCGAAGGCTACATTCTCTACCTATAACGTAGGTAGATCTGTCTGTTATGTTTTAACGTCTATATGTCTGAATTATGGTGAATTTTGGTATGAAAACAAGAGTTTCTTCGGAGAAGTATATAAAAAACATACTTTCGTCTCGAAAATTAAACTTGGAAGAGGTAGTTAAATAGGTAATATACGTAATGCCTGGTCCGCGTGGATTTTTTTCTAGTAAACTTTTCTTTAGATTTAAACATCTAGCAGTTAAATGCTTAAAAAATAAATAAAATCATAACTATAATTGCTATTTAATTTTCTTCTTTCAAATGTTTAATACTTGAAAAAGTATTCATTTGACATTCTGGGTTACCTACAATGCGAAGAGATGGCGCTGCCTTGCAGCTTAAGGCTAAGAAAATTTCGACGCGGCTAATAGCTAATAGGGCCGTGGTAGCATAATGGTCAGTGCATTCGCCCGGATTGCGAAGGATGCGGGTTCGAGTCCCGTCCGCTGCCTGGTCCGCGTGGATTTTTTTCTAGTAAACTTTTATTTAGAATATACATAATTATCCAGAAAAGGATTTGCACTTCATCTATCTTCACTTGTCAGTAAGAATCTAATCCCCTTATCCATGGAGCCCTGGAATATTACTCGCTAACAGAAACAACACCAAATGGAACTTCCGATGACTGGGGGTTCCTATTCTAGCAGAAAATTCGCTATCCCCTAAGTTAATTCTCTTAGTAGTACAGTTTTGTGTCTATACAACAGAATATTATTGGATACTTTAAAATATAAACTTGAATTCGGCTAAGAGGAAGTGTGAATTTTAATGTAGTTATTAAGTAATAACCTCATATATTTTGGTTTTGCATTGGTGAATACTATCCAGAAAAAGATTACATCGTAATTTTATTGCATAGCAAACTTAGAATTTAGAATCTGAACAAAAATCTCGACAAAGGTAATAAACAGTATTAATTATAAACAAAAAATACCTAGTGCCATATACAGTCTTCTGATACCCATAATAAAATGATGAATAAGCAAGTGCAAACATTTTATAAAATCAATACCAAAACTCACAAACACAGTGATGACTGGTACAGCGGCCTTATACTTAACAGCCGCGTGTAATTCTTCGAGGACACCTTTAGCTCTGTCCACTAAGGTAATCGAGTTGTCAACCATCGTCTCCACATCGGAGAGCAATTTGCGGACAAACAACTCGTACTGCCGGTTGAAGGCTAGCAGCTGGAAGATCTGTATATAGTCTTCCCTGAGTAGAAACAAGAATATTTAGAATATTATTATAAAATCAGTTGATCAAATTAGCTCAACCCCGGAGTTTTCAACTATCGTCTCCACGTTGGAAAGCAGTTTGCGGACAAACAACTCGTACTGCTGCTTTTAGTCTTCCCTGGTGGAAAGGTGATAAGGAACTCTTATCCATCTTCGCATCCAGACTCTAGTCACAGTTGACTTCAGGTGGGTTGGGTTAATTTGCTGTGTTGTTTAAGAAATATATTTTGCAATGAATACATTTAAAAATTTTCTTAACCAGCTCAGCAGATTCACTCAACCCCAGGAGGATTGAGTGAATCTGCCGAGCTGGAATCTGATTTAAATGTGAGTATGAGCCGCTCCCTTTGTCGTTGTTCTAGCGCTCTGAATAGCTTTAAACCAGTGAAGCGATGGAAACATTCTCAACCACAGAAATTCAATTATACACTGGTCTGTATACCTAAATATTACGTTTCATTTTCTAAGCTGCAGAAGTTAGAGATTTTAATAAAAAAATGTTTTATAGCAAATTTTATCAGCTTTCTTTGAAAATGTAAAACAAAATTAACCTCTGTTTCGAATCCTTTTTATTTCGAAAGTAAATCATCTTGTGTACTTACAAAGTAATTGCATTTTTTAAAGTGGGATACGTTTTTTTGCAGGCGAGTGTATAAGTACTCTAAAGTTATCTTATTGTTATTTTCTATGAGGTTGGTTTTCTCAAGTCAGGGAACTTTATACTCAGCACAGGAACACATGTTATTTGCTTGCAATCTTCTGTAAGCTAAAGGATGTACTCGTATAGGTACTTCTTCGGATAGTCATCATAACAGCATAGCTTTAGGATCTCCATAAAGAGACGCTCGTATCGGAGCTATTGTACCGCCAATAAGTTGGGAATCGCGTGATAGTTCTATATGTAAAGCGAGGAACTCGACGCACGGCGCGTTTCGCAATAGTCAAAAAATTATTATCTCGAGCTCCTCTGTGCATCGGAAGGCACGTTAAGCCGTTGCTCCTGGTTGTATCTGCAGTCGTTAGCACCCACCAACCCGCACTGGGCCCACATGGTGGGTCAAGGCCCATCTCCCTATTCCATCCATAGGGAACACCTGCGCCCCATCAGTGGGGACATTAATAGGCTGATGATGATGAGTTCTATAATAAACATACAAAGTGAGATGCGATCCGCTGGGTATGTCCACGTAAACGTTGCCAGTCTCATGCTGTACGGCGACTACGTCGGCCACGGCCGTAGTTAGCGCATTCACTCGCTGCATCACCGCGATCAAGGCGTTGGACAACGAGCCCAGGCATGCCTTGCCCGCGTCCACCAAGTTAAACGGCACTGAGCGACAAACAAAATACCTACCCTTAATGATATATCCATGCATGGATAATTTGATTAAAGGACTTTGGTGGAAATGGTCCTTGAAAATGTTGAGTCCATCCGATAGTTGGTACTACAAGACCTACAAGCAAGATGTCGGGCTATCTATCATTAAAACTCAAACCCTTAAAGGTTCGTGTACTTAATTCATAAACAGGTCTGCACAGTTTTGCCTACATAGACATAGAGAAGAGTGGAATGAGCGTTCTCCAATGAACATTTCTATCTGTGTTCTGTGACGTTTCCTAACTGGGTTCGGGATTTTGATGTTCAAAAACTACATTTAAATACATTCCGGCACGTAAAATAATCATAAATCAATGTTATGGAATACTTACAATCAGGTATCCCCTCCCCGCCCTTCTTGCAATCCCTGTTGAAGAGCCTTACACCAGACACGATTTGCGTCAACTCCTCCAGCTGCGCCATCTTCTCAGTCCTGGGTATAGCTACGAACATCTTGAGGTCTTCTAGAGAGAACACGCTCTCTAGAGCGGCCATGCCTTCTTTCAACGTCTGCGAATAGATGAGGATGACTAAAGAACATTATCTATCGATTCGATAAAAATCGATATAGAAATTCAACAATCTACATAATCAAATCGATGGTCCTAATCATAAACACATATATCTACGGTGGTTAACACTCACAAGTTTAAACTGGGTTCCGGTTGCCGAAATCTTTACATTACTCTGGGGCACATGCAAGCCTTCCCGTTTCATTGTGCCATTGCCCATAGAGATTTGAATGGCCTTCTGAGAGGTAGTTGTTACAGTGGAGATTACGTGCCAAATTGGGTGCTAAGATATCTTAAAAATTGTTGTGTAACTGATGCATTGACTGCGTCCTGACAGCGACAAATGCTGATTACTGACAGGGGCTTCTATAAAAATTACTTACTGTGATCACCCCTGGATTCCCCAGCCCACTTGCCAGGACTATATAAATGGAGATCTTCCTGAACAGCTTCCGGCACTCCGCTTCATCATCAGCCGCCGGCTCTGCATCCAAGATTTCGCTGACGAGTGGCCGCAGACAGGTGCTGATCGAGTGCAAGTGCTTCTCGATCAAGTTCTGGAGTTTGTCGTAGTTCGTCTGTATGATGTGCTGCATGCGCAGAGTGTTTAGGGAAGTTTCACCACCTGATGGTTAAATACAAACAACCCATACTTTAATAATATTAAAAAAGCAAATGTGTGTCTGTCTCTGTCTGTTACCTATTCACGTTTAAACCGCTGAACATATGTATATATATGGTTTCGCCCTCAAAGGACATGGGAAATATTGTATCCCAAAAATCAGCCTGAGGGGGAGACAGGGTTGGTAAAACATCGAAGCTATGACAGCATGACCGTTATAGTTGACCTCCATATCCTCCACGATATGTGGTGGACAACTGAATACCCTACATCTTGGTGATGTCGTGGTTTTGTATCTATGATCTCCAGACTTCCACGGGGTAGGGGATTAGACCGGCAAGGTGAGCTGATGGCTAGTGCAGCACATTCTTCTGCCGCGTCGTTCGCGACTGGACTGCATACTTAAGGTGGAGCGGGTTGTTGCTGCATCTGTTCCTAAAATATATAAACATAGAATGCTCACGCACGTGTTAACAAGTGCACACACTCCTCGACGAAATACTGCAAGTTGTTCCTGTTGATAGTCTTCGAAAACAGCTTCCCATACTTAGGATTCAATAAGAACAGATCCACAAGATAAACCACGAACTCAATGTCTACAGTAACATTCTGGACTTGGCAATTTCTGGTTATTTCGTTCGCTATATTCTTCACAATATTCTCATTGCATGCCATTTGTTAGTAAATTACTGTAAAATAATGCTGTCCTTCAAAAACTTATATGATTGTCATTAGTTAGACGTTTAATAGGGCAGAGAGTAAGGGGAATGTAAAGGGATTATATTACCTGTTTAGAGAGTTTATCGTATGATCAATGATTGTGGGTTGTCATAGTGATAAATATGTTTGTCTCAGACTTAAAATTAACGGTAGATAGTGGTAGTTTTCCAATTACGGCACTAGAGCGCATTATGCTTAACGTTGAATGTTTCAACTACAGCAACGCTTCGCACAATCGAGCACTCTCAAAAGTAATGTTTTCTTGTGATGCGTGCAATCGATACCAACTCAGTGACAGAAAATTAACAAGTGTTTTTTCTTTAAGTTGGCATTTATGGAAATGTTTTAATTGATAACTCTATGAATATTATTGTTTTTAACACTAAACTTAGCGCACTCTGCTGGTGTATTTGAAAACTAATTCACGTTCCAATTAAGCATCAGCATAATTCGGCATTGTGCGCCACTGAGTCGCATTATGTTCTGTTATTGGAAAACTACCAGTAGTTATCATTTTTCTACGCTAAGATCAATGCTGAGATCTAAGAAAGGTAGGGCTAATATTCTGCTCTAATAAGAGCGCCCGACTTGGGAAGTAGGCTACACTTTATTGAAGATCACAGCGAAATTGCTAACATCACCTTTTGGTAGTGTTCTGTTTTTGTTACTGAGTAACAAGTTTTCCTAAGCTAGGTTCCATAACGTAACATGGTTTCAGGACGGCAAGGTGATGATAGCTGGAGGAGCACTCTTTTCTACCGCACCAACTACCTTGGCAACTAGATTCCACTCACGTTGGCATAATCAGATGGGATAGGGTAATTAGGTGGACTTAGCATAAAAATCCCGGCCAAGGGGGAGTCGTAATTGCATACTAAGCTCTCCATGTTTTTATTTCTTTTATTATATTTGATTTAACACCAGCTCGAGCATAGTTGAAAATATCAGGTTTATTGCATGGAGCTCCCATAATTTTTTATGGTAGGAATCATTAAGTGGCCATAGAAATTAGTCCCTACTATGTTAGGTGAAGTAAAACTGTGGTTGCAGCCTTATTAACATACAGTGTATAGGTATTTTAAGACAGAAATTTGGATAATCATCATCAGCCTATTAATGTCCCCACTGCTGGGGCACAGGCCTTCCCTATGGATGGAATAGGGAGATTGGGCATGACCCACCACGCGGGCCCAGTGCGGATTGGCGGGTGCTAACGACTGCAGATGCAGCCGGGACCAACGAACGGCTTAACGTGCCTTCCAAAGCACGGAGGAACTCGAGATAGAATATTTTTGGTCACCCATCCAATGACCGACCATTGCGAAAGTTGCTTAACTTCAACGATCGTAGTCGAACGCGCTAGCCACCTGCGCCATCGAGCTCCTCAAATTTGGATAAAGGTCCTCTTTTGTAAAAAATAAAAAAAAACTTAAAACAAGCCAAGTGTTAGTAGGACGAACAGCTTCATAGAGTCTGTGCGGAAAGAGAATGGGCGTGGCGAAAAACGAAACTAACATTAAGATTTTTATTTGGCAATCAAACCAATATCACCGATACGTAGGGTTGCAACGATATATCGGAATATCGATATTATCGATAATATCGAGACCAAAATATCGATATTTATATCGATATTTAAAATTCACTGATATCGATATTATCGATATCGGAAATTCCAAAATATCGATATTTCGTAGACTAAATTTAAACACAATAATATCAATTAATTTACCTGCTATGACTATCTAAATTGAATAATATCGAAATAACTATTGCTTTGAAATCGCAACAGCTTATAGATGTATTAAAAAAATCTTGAACCCCAAGAAATATACTAAACTGGTGTGGATTCTGGCATGATTCTCTCAACCTAAAATTAAATTTGACAACAGTGTATCCTTGTCATTCTCTATACAGAATGACAAGGAGAGACTGATGTTAAATTTAGTTTTAAGTTTAGATAATCATGCCAGAATCGACACCAACGTATATAGGTATAATCGTATACCTAATGGTAACTCATGCACTTAAATAAAATCCTTGCCTCTCTTTCTAGATAATTGTCAACTACTGATTAATTGAAATTAAATATCATTGTAATATAACACAAAATAAAATTAAGAATCTTATACAAATCGTAAATTTTTAAGCTCGCCAAGTCAAGAAAGTAAGATAGGTATAGTAATTTTTGAAGCTTTGGGCTTACCCTATTCTGAAGCCATGGGCACGCCCCTGATGTGTGGGAGACTAAGCAATTTGCGTATTTGATGTGCGCTAAAAAACCGACATAGCTTGGAAAAGCACGAATGTAGTGAAAACTTAGTGAAGGCATTCGCAAATGTCGTCCCACATATGCGGGTTGGCGCATTCGTGCTAACAAATGTGAGTGATCTGATCAGGATAATAATTTTAATTTTTTGGTTTCCCGTCGTGGCTGAAACATAAACAGTGCGAGCCAAAAAAAAATCCTGCTTGGCGCGATTTCATCAAGCGTGTTTAAAGAAAAAGCTGGCTCAATGCATTTTGCGAGAAACTCGCCAACAAACATATGAATGTGTCACATTCAGCCCGTATTGTAATGTCAATAAAAAAAAAGAAAAAAATATCGATATATCGATAATATCGAGTTAAAATGGTCGATGTATCGGATATCGATATTTTCCTGACTTCGATATAAATATCGATATAATATCGATATTTCAAAAGACTTTGCATCCCTACCGATACGGATTTGTTTGTTGTAGTGATTTCTTATGGTTTTTTGTATTTAATCATGTCTTAAAGGGGTAAAACCTTACAAATACAGAATAATAATAATAATAGGTAGAAAAGCACTACAGCGCCCTCTAATCTAAATCCCATTCTCTTTCCGCACAGACTTCTATAGGTATTTTTCAAGACAGAAATTTGGACATAGGTCCTCTTTTGTAAAAAATTAAAGTTATTTAAAAAAAAACTTAAAACAAGCCAAGTGTAGGGCGAACAGTTTCATACCATGCTAGATTGAGTAAAAATAGTAACAGAAAATTATATTATGGCGACATCGGTTTTTCTTTGGCAATATCAATATCATCGAATACTTTGCAAATATCGGTAAGGACTTCGAATTTTGTGGGAGCTTTAATGGAGCAGTGGTTAGCTCGTTCGGTCTGAGTTCACGGAAGGTACAACTTCCTGGTCAATCCACCCTACTCTTACGTTCATAGAGAAAACAGTTGAGACCTAAGCTGATGATAATGATTTTATATGGTCCATGTGGCATTAACACAAGGACATATAACGGAGTCTTACAGTTGTACACCAAAATTTTGTGATTCATTAAAGTTACGTGGTCTTTGCCTCATTCTATTCTTATTCCAAAGAAAGTGACAGCATAAACTTTAATCAAACTTAAATGTTAATTGACTTCTCTGGGTGTGCTATTTAGTAACAGAATTCTATTATCACCATTTATGTATCAAAGCCTAAAAATGAAAGTCGAAAATATAATAGGTCGATTATTTTATTAAGACATATTTACAATTGTACCACTAGGGTCATTTTATTCTCTTCAATTTGTTCAGTTCTCCTTGCTGAATAGAAGCTTCCTTGTAAATTTGTTTCACCTTATCTCTTCTTACTTTGTCACTGAAAAGAGAAACACAGATTAGTAATTATAAGTAACCTTTGCTTAAGGCCTTGTTCAGACAAACACGTATGGCTCGCGCATCAGCAACCGCATTTAACTTTGAAATTGTTTGCACAAAATTTGATTTCTATGACACACGAATAAATCTCAGTTTCCATTTATCGAAGTCCAACTGCGCTTGTCTCGCAAACACCAAGTATATATCAAGTATGGTATTTACCTTTGCAGTTTCTCCCTGATCTTCACAGATCCAATGTAGGCCTTGTCCCTCCTAATTTCTCTTAGAGCTCCCTTCATTTCTTTCTTATATTTGGTTTGCAGTCGGGCACTCTCTGCTTTCTCTCTTGAGAGCTTGGCACACTTACTGCCAGTGAAACTGCAAGGAAAATGATATACAAATAAGATTACAGCAACAACCATCACACACACTGAAAAATGTCAAATATAGAATTTAAAAGTTTAGAAACTTTTTATGTTTGTTACTCAATTACGCAAAATGCTTGTAATGCTTTCTAGCTTTTCAGAAATTTGGCACGCATATAGTTTATGACTTTGATTAAGAAATAGGATACTTTCTATCTCGGTAAAATGCTGTTCTTGTGGAATACTCAAAAACTCAAGTTAATGCGAAAAAAGTCGCGGGCGGCCGCCAGTTCATTATAATTATGTAAAATATTTATCACGCTATTGTTAGTACTTAAACTTTAATAATAAAATTAATACTCACACTTCCTGAACATCAGGCTCATACATCCTTAGCATTTTAATTTTCTTCTTCTCCCCTGTTAGAGGCGTGAACGTCTTGACTTCGAAAGTTTCCTTCATGTACTTAACAGTCTGTGCAACTCTCGTGGCTACTTTCTTAGGATACAAATCTAGGTCTATCCTACCAATGAGGGCTATATGGGGTTCAAATAAACATTTCTGAGCTTCTAAATCAGTGAAATAATCGAAATACTCTTTCAACATATCTATACTTGTACTAAAACATCGTATTTTAAAATCGTCGTCTATCTCTTTCGTAACTAAGTCCTTCGCCGACATTTTGTTGCTGACCGCCATTTTAGAACAGTCGTTAGCTAAATTTAAAAGTTTAGCATCTTTATGTAAACGGAAGGGTGGCACTACTTGGATAGGATTTAAGATACTCGTGTTCGCGCACAAATACAAAACACCTCGGATGAAATTAATGGCAGATGGTACAAGCCTTTTTGACAAAACGGTATATTCTAAAATAAGCGAGGTTATAAATAAACCTCTGGATATTGAATAAGGGCAATTGAACCTAGACTGAGCTAAGATTTCGGACATGAAAAGTAAAGATGGCGTCGTGGCTGGGTGCCGGAAATCGGACGTCGGATACACTAAGGATACCAACTTAAAGAAAATTAGAGTATCCAAATCAGGTACCACTTTTATTTTCTTGAGGAAACGGTTGTGTTTCTCTTTTAATAGTTCGACGATAAATTTCTTTGTGGAAACTTTGTTCGTGTGAGCTAAGTCGTAGAAATGTGGAGCAAGTTTGTCAAAGATGAGGAACGCTTTTAATAATTCCCCTTCGTCTTTTAAGTCAGTGAATGTATCGTTAATATATTGGAGCATGTGAGCATATAGCCTACTGAGTAATTCTTTGTTGTTTTCAGCTAAGCTTGGATCGTAATTCTTGATTAGTTTTTGAAGTGCAGTTGATTGCTGTGATGGCGTCTTTCCTGTTAACAATTCCTGTGAAATAAAATCAAAATATTACTTTGACGCGAACAAAAGTAATGGTGTAACTTTTTACAAAACAATATCAATAGGGTATTAGATTTTTTATGTCTTAATGACATCTTTTGAAAAAAGTGTTTTTAACCTACCTTTAAATTATCACCTGCAGCTAGTTTCAACTCAAAAAAGGAAGATATTTTTTGTTTATCTGATTCATCAACATCATCACCGCTCTCCTCGTCTGACTCCTTGAGATCTTTGAAATCGTCAAATTTATTATTATTGACGGATGTATCACTTTCTTTATCCTCATCTTCATTATTTTCTGAATCTCCATCATTATCAGAATCATCTGAGTTGTTTCCACTTTTATCCATTAAATTTTCTTTTGTTTGCTTCTGATCATTGAATTTATTTTTTTTACTAGTTTGTTCACTTGTTTTGAGTTTCAAATCGTTTTCATTTTCTCTGCTAGTGTTTGGCTTAACTTTATCTTCTTGACTCATATCTTCACTTGTGTCTTCTTCACTTTCGGAATCATTTTGTTCCACATCATTTCCTTCTTCTTTTTCATCATCAGTTTCATCTTCTTCGTCACTGTTATTCCCATTATCCTCACTACCTTCATCATCTTCTTCATCATTAGAAGAGTCAGAAATGCCATCCTTGAATTTGGGTTTTGCATTTGGTACTGAAAAATTTACATCATATCACCAATGCATCAGGTTTTAACTTTCTACAGTAATTTAAAATTTCGCATCCTTTTCAGGATGAGTCGTCAGAAATATGATTTTTAAATCTAAAGAAAAGTTTACTAGAAAAAATCCACGCGGACCAGGCAGCGGACGGGACTCGAACCCGCACCCTTCGCAATCCGGGCGAATGCACTGACCATTATGCTACCACGGCCCTATTCGCCGCGTCGAAATTTTCCTAGCTTAAGGCTGCAACTTAATGTAATTTTGTCTAGTAAACTTTTCTTTAGATTTAAACATCTAGCAGTTAAATGCTTAAAAAATAAATAAAAAATATGATTTTTATTTACTTTTGAAGAGCTATCTTCGAAAGACTTTTATTGAACGTTTGGATACTTAATTAAAAAATTTAATTAATAAACTACTTTATTTAATTATTTCTTAATTTTGTGTTCTATTTATTTGATCCTAACTACCGTAAACTACCTCAAGTTCCAAATTGGGAGACCTTTCTGAGAAGAACTGGCGAAACAAACTCAGATAGGCAAAAAGAACTAATAGTATCTGCTGGTCTTGCAGTGTGTGTTCGGGGAGGGATCTTATCTGTTGAATAATGGGTTCCCAAACTGATGGCACAACCAACTATATTTTCTATTGAAATTTGGATGTTTTTTAATCTCCGTAGCCTTGCATATCATCCAAGGAATGAATCGTTGTTCAGTTGCAAGGATCTGTGGTTTATCAAACCATATCATTATGGTTTGTTCCCCCTGATGCGTTTCAAAACTGTTTCTTTTTATAAGGGGTGTGCATGAAAACTTAAGAAATAAATATTATATCACATTTTTTTTCTGGGAACACTATTGTTATTGTTACATGTTTGTTATAAATGAAATATGTAAAATTATTGTAATTTTAATTAAAAATAACTATACTCTAAGACAGTGGTTCTCAAACTTTTTAAATGACGGAACCCTTTTGGGAAGCAAAATACTTGATGGAACCCTACAATAAAACAATTATTTTTATAAGTGTATTCTATATTAATCAGCATAATAAAAGTACAATGTATCCGTTACTAATTATTATTTACTTCACCACTTGGTAAGGACAATAATAGAAAACATTAAAAAAGAAAAAATCTAACTAGTGGGAGGTATGAAACTGTTTTTTATTTTTCATCAATTGCTTGATATCAGGTTTGATGGAAGAAAGTTGGAGTCTCATATCAGCTTCGGCGTCCAGTCTATTGCGATATTTTGTTTTCGTGGCTGCGTAGGTAGAGAATCCTGTTTCGCACAAATATGTAGTTGGGAACGGGAGAAGAATATCCAGAGCCATTTGGCCAAGCATTGCATATTCATCTTGGATTCTGCACCAAAAATCATTAAGAGGCGTCGTTTTGAACAATGACTCCATACTTGTGTCTGATGACATTTCTAAAAGAGATTCATATATCTCATTTGACATGTTTTCAGGCTTTTCCAAGTTGGGTAAAAAAGGATTATGAATCCAGGAGTTCACTTTAATTTTTGTATTGTGTTCTTCGGGAAAATACTTTTCAAAAGATGCGCGCATCGAACTGAGATATTGGACCAATTCTTCAAACACATTATCTTCAAACATTTCTGAGTCGTTTTCGCTAACAAACTCAGTGAGTAACGTAAAACTTTCTATTTCTTTCTTACCAATGCAAATGATCCAAAAATCTAATTTTCTTTTAAAAGTAGTTATTTTATTATAGGCCTGAAACACTGTTGTCTGTTTACCTTGCAATGATAAATTTAATTCGTTAAGTTTTTGAAAGATATCCGCCATAAAAGACAATCGGAACAACCAAGTTTTATCATACAAACGGTCCTTCAAATTAAAAGAAGTATCTGCTGAAAGAAACATTTGTAACTCGGCTCTAAGTTCAAATAGCCTTGTTAAAGTTTTTCCCCGAGACAGCCATCGCACTTCTGTATGGAGCAGCAGTGTTTTATGTTTGCTGCCATAATCTTCACACAATAATGAGAACAATCGGGATTGTAGTGGTCGTGATTTGATAAAATTAATTATTTTTACCGCTTCATCCATAACTAATTTTAGATTAGACGGCATTTGCTTCATCGCAAGTGCTTGTCTATGCAGAATACAATGACTGGAACTACAATTAGGCGCTTTATTTTTCATTCGTGACACTGCTCCTGCTGTTTTACCTGTCATCGCCTTGGCCCCATCTGTACAAATGTCAATGCAATTGTTCCAACTGAGATTATGTTCTTCAAAAAATATATTTATTTTATTAAAAATTTCTTCCCCGGTAGTGTTTGTAAGCAGCGATGAACACATAAGCATGTCTTCTTCAAAAGAACTTTTATATGGATATCTCACAATAACCAGCAGGATAGCCAAACCAGCGACATCAGTCGACTCGTCCATTTGCAAAGCGAATCGTGTATTTTGTAGACGTGTAACTAGTTCTTGTTTGACGTAGCTTGCCAGATCATGGATTCGTCGTGAAACAGTATCGTTTGATAGCGGAACAGTAGAAAGATGCTTTGCAGATTTTTCATCAAGCATACATTTTGTTATGTCTAATACACATGGTTTTATTAATTTCTCAGCGATAGTGTGCGCTTCACCTGCTTGTGCAATGCGATAGCTAACTAAGTATGATGCCTCCGTGGCCTTTTCGTTGGTAGTTTGTGTTACATGCATCATATTTTTTTGACTTTCTAATAACTGATCTTTTTTGCGAACAAAAAATTCTTTATTCTTGTCTTTAGTCTCGGGGTGTACGGTTTCTAAATGTCGACGCAATTTGGCAGGTGCCATGGAACTATTAGGAAGCAGTTTACTACAGAGCATGCAGAGAGGTGAGCCGTTGGAATCAACAAATCCGAAACTGATATAAGATTCATCATACTTCCTTTTTTTCGTCTTTGAAACCGTCGAGCTTGACGTCGTGGCACTCGTGGCATCATCTTCTGGATCGGTGATTGCTAAATTCTCCGCGCGCATTGCTTTTGAACATTCAGCGTCATTAGAAGATGTTGTTGGAACACGTTTAACACCTTTAAGCCAACGTTCCATTCTTCTTTATTTATAATGTTACAAGTCAGGATAGTGGGGTTTAAATAATGCACAATCGTTACTGCGTATAAGAGACTAAATTTAGAACCTACAGGGAAGAAATGTATAAAACTGAGACAACAGAATACAGCAGGCAGTAAAACAATGAACACCAGTTTCTCGCTAGCGAGCTTGTAAGTAGGTAGTAACTTATCGCTCCGAACGCTAATCATCAACTGACGACGCCAACGCGCGATCGCCGCTTTTATACTTAGTCCTAGACTCGATCTCAAATATTCTCGAAAATACTCGAGTCGGCACCTTTGATAAACAAAAAGCAAAAATAAAAACAGAAATTTAAAAATAGCGTTGTAAACAATATCGACTTTATCCTTTGAAGTTAGAGACGAAAGTCGCTAGTTGACAACTATAGCGTCTAATTCAGAGGCGGCTTTTATCAAAGAGACTGAGCGCTTACAAGTATACTACCCGCTCGTTTTAAGTTTGCCGCTGGCGATAGGTATGAGTGTATGACGTTCGAAATTTTTTATTTAATTGTAACAATAAAAATTGTGTACGTTAGATATTTGGGTAAAACTATGACACATTATAAGTTTTGTTGTCACGTGGGGGAGGGTACGCGCATTCCACAGACCGGCAAACTTAGAGCGAACGCGTTGTACAAGTATAAAATTGTTGAGACCAAACTTATGAGATATTGTACCAGCTAATGTAACACAAGCTTATACAAATACAAATAAATAAATAAATAACATTCATAGCGTTTTGTCTCCGCGCGGCCGCGGAGTCCGCACAGCCGCGGAGCGACCAGAGAGAGGTGTTTTGATTTTTTTATTTCTAAATTCTTGCGGAACCCCGACAGAGGTATCACGGAACCCTAGGGTTCCGCGGAACACACTTAGAGTATAGCTGCTCTAAGATGTCTAATAAATTAAATGGCATTTTAAGTATCTTAAGTAATAAATACTATTGTTATCTTAAAGAAAGTGATAGCACTAACTTAAATTTTAAAACAAAGTTGCTGTCTCTGAGTATGTTCGAAAGAGATAATATATCCAAGTTATACAATGAATTCTTATTTTGGAAATATTATAGTTCCTCACCAGAATAATCCTTCAATATTTCTTCAGGCACCAATGGCTTTCCATCTTTATCATAAGCCAACATAAAATTCTGATCATCATCCAATTCAAAATTGTCATCCAAATCATCCGCTGACCTACACAAACAAAGTCAAATAAAAGTATCAAGTATAGGTATAGATTTCAAGTGATGTTAAAAAATTTAAAAATCATTGGTAACAATTTTCACCACAAAAAATGGCTTTTTTGGTATTAAAGAAAAAAATGTCTTTCTTGCTGTATTTTCTCAACATACATGTCATACATATACTAGTAAATTAAAAATGCAACTTGATGTTTTCTTACTTACCTATGTTTGGGTGTGGTTGATTTTGGCAAAAATTCATCATCACCTAACATTCTCTTTTCCCTTTCTTTCTCCAGCTTCTCTAATTTCTCTTTTTCTTCTTTAGCTTCCTTCTCCGAAGTCTTCAGTGCATCTGAGGGCTGAAATATATTAATAGTAGTACAACTTCATAATTTTAAGTTTTCTAGTTATCTTACCAAACTAGACTATAGGTTGGGACACAGTATCAAGTACGATAATTATGGATATGTTTGTTTTATTGGTCATATTTCTGCATTGAATGTACCAAGTAAAAGTAATCAGTTATATATAGTCTCTAGGTAAAAGGTGATATACAGTGGTGGTCATATAATTAGAAACTGTTGTTAAGCATTGAAGAAAGTTTTTTTTTTTATAGATAGGTCCGATAAATGACTCCACCCCACCTGATGTTAAGTGAAGGTAAAGTCCAGACGTGACGATAGCTGATACAGCAGTTCTACCTGCCACACCAGCCATCCTCACCCTGCCGGCCTGCATGTTTCTTCTTCACGCCTCTTTTAAAGGATCCCAGGTTGTAAGAGGGAGGGAACACGTGAGCGGGCAGAGCATTCCATTTACGGATAGTGCGACAAAGAAATGAGTCACCAAATTTCTTTGTACGCGTTGGAATTGTGGCCACAGTTAGACGATGACAACGTAGGCCAGCGCGCGTGGTCCTCTGAAGGAAAGGAGAAGGTGGGATAAGAGAGAATAACTCCTCAGAACACTCGCCGTGGTACAGACGATAGAACGCGCTTAGTGACGCCACGTCACGGCGTAATTGAAAAGGCTCAAGGTGTTTAGTCACCTCCTCATCGCCTATGATGCGGATCGCGCGTCGCTGTAACCTATCCAAAGCATCGAGCAAGTACTTGGCGGAGCCATCCCAGAGGTGCGAGCAATATTCCACGCAGGACCGCACTTGCGTTTTGTACAACAAGCACAGTTGATCGGGCGTGAAAAAACGCCGCACCTTGTTCAGGACTCCGAGTTTGCGTGAAGCTGTTTTGATCACGGTTTCGATGTAGTTCTTTGGATTCAGGTCTGAGCGAACTTCCATACCGAGCATGGAAATGTTGTTCTGCAGCGGTAGTGTTGTGCCCTGAAGAGATGGAAGGGGAAGGAATGACGATGTTTTTGCCGTGAAAGCGCAAGCCTGAGTTTTTTTGGCATTGAACTCAACCAAGTTCCTGGTACCCCATTCGGAAATGTGGTCCAAAGCCTGATTGAGTTCAATGACAAGATTCTCGCGTTTCTCCTTGGTTACCGCCAGCCCAGCCGCTGCTTGTCCGAGATACCCCGCATGCACTGTACTATCGTCTGCATAGCAATGAATATTCCCAAGAGGAATTAAGTCATTGATATGCAGCAGAAAGAGAGTGGGGGATTGGACGGAGTCCTGGGGAACGCCGGCATTCACTGACATGAACCGCGAACTGCTTGCTACCATCCGTAAGGACACGAATTCTACGCTCATGCAGGAAGTCAGCCACCCAAGAACAGAACTGGGCTGGCAGACCGTATGCCGGAAGCTTGGAGAGAAGGCTTTTGTGCCATACCCTGTCGAACGCCTTGGCAATGTCAAGGCTGATAGCCAACGACTCGCCACGCTTGTTGATAGCCTCACCCCAGATATGAGTTAAGTACGCTAGAAGATCACCCGTCGATCGTTTAGGTCTAAAACCATATTAACGATCATTAATCAAGGAGTGATCCTCTAGGTAGCGGGTCAGATGGTTATTAAGGACCTTTTCTAAAACTTTACATAAAACTGAGGTGACTGCTATTGGCCGGTAGTTTGCCGGGTCTGAGCGATCCCCTTTTTTGGGCACCGGTTGCACATTAGCATCTCTCCAAGTCTCCGGCACACGCCCCAAAGAATACGAGCATTGGTACAAGCGCGTGAGCACGGGAGACTCCGCTGCACATTTTTTGAGTACTACTGCTGGGATGCCATCAGGTCCACTAGCTTTCCGGACGTCGAGTGATTGCAATTCGGCACGAACCTCGCGCTGCCTGATATTAATATCAGGCATCGTTGTGCCACGGTGAGGTAATGATGGTGGCAGTGCATTGCAATCATCGATTCGGGAGTTAGCCGCAAAGAGTTTTGCCAGTAAATCGGCTTTCTCCTGCGGCTTATGGGCTAGTGTTCCGTCTGGGCATCTCAGAGGCGGCAGCGAGGGCTCACAGAAGTTCTTTTGCACGGCCTTGGCCAGACGCCAGTAGCTATGGGAGCCCGTAGGATGCGTCATAAGTTCCTGGCCAACACGTGCAACGCGCTGGGCATCCGCTCTAATGTAAACCTTCTTACAGGCCTTGGAAGCAAAATTGTAGGCTGCTTTGAGTAAATCGACCTCGGGATCCTTGAGAGCGCGACCTCTGATCCAAGCACGATATGCCGCTTGCTTACGCCAAGCAGCTTCAGCACAGTCGTGATTGAACCAGAGGTTACGCGTGCCCTTACTGATGAGATCAGAATGAGGAATATAGTATTCCATACCCATTATAATCTCCTCAGTAATGGCAACAGCACTGGCCGATAGGTCCCTGTCACTGAAGCAGCGCTGCTTCCAAGGGACGGACGCAAAGTAGTCACGCATACCGTCCCAATCTGCCGACCCATAATGCCAGATACGGCGCTTGACCACTGCTGGACGCGGAGGCTTGGCCTGTGGTGCTTTGGCAGATATCAGGCAGTGGTCTGACGAGCCCAGGGGGGCTCTTACCACAACCTGATAGCCCTGTGGATGGGTCGTGAGCAGAAGGTCCAGTAAAGAAGGCGCTTGACTTGGAATATCTGGGATCCTGGTGGGCTGATCAACCAGTTGCTTCAAGTCATGCGTGAGAGCGAATGCGTGAGCAGAGATCCCTGCATGATCAGTTTTGGAAGAACTTAACCACAAATTGTGGTGAGCATTAAAGTCCCCCAAAAACACCAATTCTGCATTGGGAAATTGTTCCTGCGCGTCATCTGCTGCCCGACTAAGGTGTTCAAAAAGTCGAGTTGTCTCAACATCGCCGGTGTGGGATCTGTAGAGACACACGTAAACTCTGGCCAGGGGGCCAGAGTCGACGTGTACCCCCAGCATGGAGAATGAGGGATCTTCCAAGCAGCGGAGACGGCGACAACAAACATCCGCCCGAACATACAGGCATACACCGGCTTTCGCTTTGAAGGACTCTTCAAGCACGTAGCCGGGATAATTAAGGTAGCCTGTGTCAGCAGGCGGAAGTATTTGTGTCTCCGCAAGGAACAACAATGCTGGCCGTGCTGTCTCAAGATGGTGGTGGACAGCGTTGAGGTTAGAGTGGAGTCCGCGTATGTTGCAGAACTCGACCTCAAACAGCGTTGAAGGCGTGGGGGTGTGCACCGCTGTACGTCCAAACTTTGTTATTGAGGCTGCCATGGTGGAAGTGAAAAAAAAATAGACGCGAAAACGAGCGGACGCCGTCGCGAAGAGTCCGGGCAAATAAGGGGGGTTTGTCTTCCCGAATGATTGCCTGCAGAGGATATACGCCGACCCGCCGGACGGAAGGGCCCCCGCACCCCCCCGGAAGTGGCCGCCGGGACCCCACGCCCCGGTCACCAACCGGCACGACGGTCCACCCCGAGATTATGCGTGACATGATGGGGCAGCCTCGCGAACTGGTTAGGAACGCTCGGGCCCCTGTACTGTGCCACGGGCGGCGAGCGGGACAGCCGTTTCTACGGGTCTCCCTGGCCGGCGGGTCGATGCAGTCCTCCCGGCATCGGTTCCACGGATGCCTAGCCCTGGACCGAATCCGTTGCGACAACCTCCACTCGAGCCCTGGTTATACGCTGGCTGACCCCGAAACGCGCGAGAAGCACTTCACGGGTTTTTCACCATGCGCACGGTGGTAACAAACCAGGCGGGTGTTAGGCACCCTACCACCAGCAGAGCGGATGGAAGCCCCGATATCCCTTAGTCGCCTCTTACGACACCCACGGGAAGAGAAGGGGCGGTGAGTTGTATTCTTTCTCCGTCACCGCACGGATTATATAACCGCACGGATAGTATAACTTTAACATACAAATATTCGTCAAAAATATACACATTCAATAATAAATAACCATGCAATAATATAGCCACTCAAATAAAAATCTCATTAAATGCATAAATATAAAACATATTTTACTTTTAATTACAAAATGAGTCATACACATGTAAGAGTTTATTTTCTGTCACTGGCTGCTCGGACGCCTAATTAGAAACATTAAAAAATAATCGGCCAAGTGCGAGTCGGACTCGCGCACCAAGGGTTCCGTACAAACTCAATTTAATACCTCTACGCGCTCATGAGAAAAGAGGTAGTAACTTTAAAATTTTCTATATGATGTATTTTTTATTATATGATGTTACTAAAAATTTACAGTTTTCGCAATTTTTACTTTATCTGTACTACTCGTATAAGACGTTACTTCGTACCAAATTTCAAGATTCTAAGTTCACGGGAAGTACCCTTTAGGTTTTGATTCCCGTGCGATTTTCTAAAATTTGCGGCATAAACGGCTGTATCTTTTGATTGCTTTGGCTTAGAAGTTTGATTTTTTTCACAGCTCCAAGAGACAGTAGACCTGAGTATTACATATGAATTTCAGTGTGATACCTCCACGCATTCCTGAGAAAAACGGTCTTGACAGACGGACGGACGGACAACAAAGTGATCCTATAAGGGTTCCGTTTTTTTCGTTTGAGGTACGGAACCCTAAAAAGCATCCGTAGCTCGTTGTTTTTTTGAAATTGGAGAATAACATTTCTTTTTTGGCTTTTTCTATTATTTTGACGGCAATTCAAAATTTAATTTTAATTCTATTTTGTTCAAAATGGTCAAAAATAAAAGTTGTCACGTGTCAACTAGGCAAATAATTGTTAATTTACATATTGCATTTAAATTGTTCTGTTATGTAAGTATTTAATGCAATTGATCATTATAAAACCCATGGAACTGTTGAAAATGTTGTTAGATAGCCTCTGCCAAAAATACCTCTCTCAGAGAAGATACGCTAATTGTTCGTGTTGCTAAAAAAGACCCAAGTAAAGGCTCCAACCAGATTAAAAATGAAGTTTTTTCGCCTGATAACCTGAGAAACATCTCGTCAAGACTGATACGCCGAAGCTAAATTGTTGGAAAGAATCGCTCGAAAGGTACCGCTTCTTACCAAGCAACACTGAGAGAAGCGATTATTATTCGCTAAAACATATGTTAATTGGATGGTACGAGAATGGAAAAAAGTGTTATTTTCAAATGAAACAAAAATAAATATGGTAAACACCGATGGAAAGTGCTATCTCAGATGTCCTATAAACAATGCTTGCAATTATATATACACAAGGAGTATAGACAAGCAAGGTGGCGGTAACATTAAAGTTTGGGGGTGTTTTACCGGATGTGAAGTTGGACCCGTTCGGAAGATTGAAGGTACAATGAATCATCGGACAATCATTTGCCTGTAACCTGGATTTTTCAGCATGACAATGACCATAAACACACGGCTAATAGCGTCAAATGTTTCCTTAGCGAACAGCGCAAATCCGCTTTCGACTGGCCAGCAAATAGTCCGCATTTAAACCTGATAGAAAATCTCTGGTATATAGTTAAAAAGAAAGTCTCGCATCGCTCTCCCTCATTTGTTAAAGCATGAAATTAAATCCCCCTAGAAAAATGTATGAAATTGATTGAATCAATGCCACTTCGTTGCAGTGCTGTTATTGTAAATAAGGGATACGCCGCTAAATATTAATTATAACTATTGGTAGGCTGTGGATAGTAGCTATTTCGTAAACAACATTACTAATTACTAATACATAAAAAAAATGTTATTTATACTTTTTTGTTGTGGTTTCTAATTAGTTGAAAGTTATTGTTCATACTTTAAAACAGATTTAAATGTTTGTCCATAATGTAATATTGAAACTGCACTTGTTAATGGAATTTATATTGTTTTTCTAATAAATGATAAATCATTAAACATATTGCTGTCCCATCAAAATAAATCAAATATCAAAATAAAAATGATTGCGGTGAAGTATCTTACATAATGTAAAAAACTGTTGGTAGTGTTTCTAATTATACAACCACCACTTTATATGCACGAACCTTGTTGTCCTTTACATTTTTGGTGGTTATACAAATTTCTACAATAAAGTAACACAACTCAATTGTACATAGTTTTATAAATGGTTCTTTTAATATAGTTATTTATGCAACTCTTGTATATTGATTAAGTATGAAAGTGGGTTTAGAATATTAGTGTTTTAATACCTAATTATAAACATTTGTATCATTATCATCATCATCATCAGCCTAATAATGTCCCCACTGCTGGGGCACAGGCCTTTCCTATGGATGGATTGGGGAGATTGGGCTATGACCTACCACGCATGCCCAGTGCGGATTGGTAGGTGCTAACAACTGCAGATGAGGTGGGGACCAATGGCTTAATGTGCCTTCCGAAGCACTCCTGAATCCTGTTTTGTGTCGCATCAAACAGTGAAAAATTGTGACTGTTGGATGAGTAAACCTTTGCACAGAAGGGATGGAAGCGAAAAACGAAGAAGTGTTATTATGAAATTAAGAACGACATTATATCATCCATTTGGATATTATGGTTACTAGGACATTGGATGTTTTAATTTTGGAAATAAGTTGTTTTAGAATCTTCAAAAGTGATTTTAAAGCATGGGTGTAGATAAACTCTTTTGTATACTCACACACAAATGTAGCTTAAATATATGTCGGAGGATGTGGCAAGTAGAGTTTCTTGTTGAATGCCAATCGCGAAAAGGCTTTGTTTAAACTTTAAATATATTTATAAAATCTTAATTTAATTTGATTTAATTAATTACAATTTTTGTATCATTCAGTTACTTAACAATTTAATAAAAGTCTTATAAATCATCTTATGTTGCGTCCAATCAATGCAGAGCACGTGCCACGAGTGGGGTCAAGGCACGTGCTCATTGTTTGGTTTTGTGCCTAAGCCCGTGAACGCTAATGACAAAGTGAATAGTCGCTCTCCGACATATATTTATATTTTAATTAATCATCATGAAATCTTAGATCTGTAGCATAACTAGTAAAAATTATTAAACTTACAGTTCCCCGTTTTTCAAACTTCAGTTCTCTCATCATCTTATCATAGTCCTGACACTTCTTCTCTGCCCGACTTAATACTTTGTCTATGATTGATTCTTCCTTCTTTTCTTCTACTCTAGCCTTCTTAAACACCACTGGTTGAAGGTCTTTCCATTCACTGTCCAACTTCTCTGTCAAGTCTAAAGTTTGTTCTTTCTCTTTCTGCTTTTCAGCTTTCCTTTTCTTGGATTCTGCTATGAGTTGCTCTATGAGGTCTTTATGTGATTTTGCACCATCCTTAGAATCTGTTTTAGATAGAGTACCACCTCCAAAATGGCCTTCCGACACAAAATCATCTAAAAAAGTAGGTTTTGATTAGAATACTGTACATTTAATTCTGTAATATTGGAACCTATTTCATACATATAGGAATAGATACACAAAAGTTAGATTGTGATTTTTACCATCTAAGCCTCCAAATTTTCTTCCGTCATCATCATCTTCATCTGATGATCGTGGGTCATCAAATTTCTCTATCTGTTCTAGTGTTTGACCCCTGAAGTTGATAAAAAAATTGTTGGTGATTATTTCATTTAAAATTGTAACAATACCTATTATCCATACATAATTTATGTATGTATAAAAATACATTGTTCTTGCTTAGTGACAATAAAGGAGATAGTTCAAAAGTGGTAGTCAGTTTCTGAAAGCGAGAAACATATATCATTCGGAAGCTTGTTTTTGTTATTATAAGATGAACAGATATCTTTATTTACCTTAGATTAATTTTAAATTGTGTTTACAAATTTAACAATAGGCTAGTTGACTCATGTTGAATTGTATTAAATAAATGTTTATTTCTTAAAGTATTTGGTCTAAGGAATCTAAATATATCGACTTCACTTCATAAAAGCAGAAGATTACTGTAGAAATTTAATTTAAGGAAATAATTTTTAGTCTATACTTTTTAAACACTAAAAACGCTGTTCGCCACATCCGCCATGATTGTGATGTCTCTTTTAGTAAACTCAACTAAATGTCATTCATACATAACTTTAAAACTTGTATTATTCAAACTGATAATAAATGAAGAGACTTAAAATATTATTCAATGAGTACTTACATCAAAGTGATGTACGCAAAAATAAATTTTACTATGAGTCGATAAAGTTGCAGGATCACTTTTAGCAAGTTCTAACCAGGTATTGCGTAGGTTAATTTCTTTCGGCACTTTAATCCACAACTTTCCTGGAGTCTTCAAGGATGTGTTTTTACATTCTCATACAATACAATAATGATAATTACTATATTTTTCGTGGTATTTATTAGAATTCATGTTTTTTTTTATTATAAACTCAGATAGGTTATTTTCTACGTGCCTATGAGTTTTTGTTCACTACCGTTGACGTCATAGCATAGATAATCTATAGACTAAAACGGGCGACAGCGTTTTTGTATGTCCATGAATAGTCTATTTTAAAATTAAAGATTTGTAGCTTTCTAGGTTTCAAAAAATAAAATACATTTTTTTTCGGTCTAATAGAACATTTAATTTAAAACATTTTTCTAAAAAGGGTCAACTAGCCTATTTCGTGAGGATGCTGGCCACCCTGTCATAAGTAACATCATATTTTTAGTGTTTAGCAGCTTATAACATCAATTTAAACACTATGAAAAATGTCTATCAGTCTAATCATGCATGATATTGGTGAAATCATGGTGAACTTATTATACCAATTTATGATTGATTCCTCTTGAAATAAAATACCCACAAAATACCTAATATAATGAAATATGAACAAAATAATTATCATTGCTTTAGTTACCTATTGAATAGAATAAATTTGATACTTTGGCATCAAAAAATAGGTAAATAAACTTACCATTCTCTAAACAATAATTATATAATTTTATATAATAATAATAAAAAAAACGGAGATAAAATATAATCTGGCTTTTGGCAAACAATTCAAAATTAGGTACACTACATCTCATAAAAATTTGGATTCTGCTGGAAACTGACTACCACCCTCCATAGAAATTAGAACCCTCTCCTTTGTCAAATTCATAAATGGGTTATTTTATACACATCCTAATACATATTGCAATTGAGGGCTAATAATAGGTTACACATTCACATATGAAGAAGAAGAATAACTAGTACTAAATAAGTAATTATTAAGAAGAAATTGGATATACCTATGTGTCAATATTTCATCATCAGCAAGATTGTAGATATTCTTTTTACTGTGCTGCCTAACCCTTTCAGCAGCAAAGCGAGCAATCATACGGTCTTCGGAGGAGAGTTGATTGTTCTTTTCACCAATACGTTTGTCTATAAACGCATTAGTCTTATTCATTAATTTCATTTCAGTCCCTAACGTTTCTTTTCTCTGTAAATAATATAGATACGGAGTATTTTAGCAGTTTCTTATATTTTTATTTAAAGAATTTATAAATTGCTATATTTACAAATTCAAAGAACATTTTACTAGAAAAATTTTATGGACCGCATGGTATTTTTACTAGTAAATCTTCTTTATTAAAGAACGTAGATGTAAACATATAAAAACTGAGAGTAATGATTCATTTTGGTGAATTTGGTGTAACTTTCTCAATGATTTGAACTCAAAATTCAATACTTACCTTTTGAATGGCTTTGGCTCGTGAAACTCCAGGTAATCCACGGTCATGTTTGGATTTCTTACCCAAAACTTTTAATTTTTCCTTGTTTATATGCACTTCAAAGGGATTCAATTTTTTCTTGACACCTTCTGTTTTCTTTTTATGGTGAACTTTATCAGCAAGTCCAGCATTACGCTTATTCTTTACTTTGGCCATTTTTTTATCTATTATTATTTATTTACATTTAAACAGTTTAATACACTAATTAACAACACCACTGCTACAGCAAATTTCCTTTCATGGGCTTTTTACAGGTTAGGTTTTTGACATTGACAAGTTACACGCGCACATGGTTTTGACATAGACATTATATTCCCGTAGGCTGTTTTGTGAATTATTTCGTGGTATTAAATAAGAAAATTTAATTTATTATCATCACCCTCACCGCTCATATGCAAAACATATACATAATTACAGTACATATAAAAATTGTTGCATGTAAATTATTATCAATTTCGAAATCAATAATTGCTAATTAAGCCAAGAAAAGCATAATATCAATAACTAAATCCAAACTAAAATGAACTCCATAAATGCTTCTCCGGCAAGGAAGCATTGCACATAAGTATTAAAATATTTTTTTAACACGACTATAGCTCTTATGACTTGGGTTTAAAAACTATAATGCATTGTAAAATATTCATTAGGGATATTCCATAATTATACATCGATGCATCGAAAACATCGATGTTTGCAATGAAAAACATGTTTTGAAAAGCTTTCATTATACTCGATGCATCAATGTTTTACAAAAAACATCGAATTGGTAATACAGTTTGACCACGTAGTGATTATATCCTCTTTGGTTTGACCTCAGTAAAAAAAACTTAAGTTTGAAAACTAAAATTTTACAATACTATTATGAACGCATCATTATTCCGAATTCTCTAATATGGACCAGATGTTGGCAGCACTGCGCAAGAGTCAGTGCAGTGACAATAAAAAATAACTATCTACTTCTCTCATGTCGGCTGGCGAGCGAGTTTCTATGTTTGTAAATATTTTATTACATTTGGTTTTGTGAAACAAAATAAGATTAAAGTATATTTTTTCTAATATTCTTTTGACAGACTTAGCAAAAAAGTTGCGGGTTATTTAGTCTTTTAGATTTGGTCGTTTGTAAAATATAATACAGATTTTCCTGATACATGGCTTTTACTTGTATTTACTTTTACCTACTCATTATGAAAAGAGTAACTTCTATTATTTTATTAAAGATTAATATCTAAACACTAATAAAATAATGGATTTAGCTCTTTTCATAAACACGCATTGTATTAATTATACTTTGAAATATGCCCTCTTTTGAGATGGGACACTTTCGACTTAAGTTGAGTTATGTAATAAAATTTAAGAAAAAGTACTCGATGTTTAAAAACCATCGATGTTTTCATCCGATACATCGAAAGAAATCGATGTATAGTTGCGATGTATCACTTCAAAAAAAAAACATCGATGTTTATTCAGAGTGGACACCACTAATATACACTAAAAAGTAGATGCCGCTTTTAAAACGAAACTGGCCGAGCAATCGGAATCATCACTCGGTTGTTTCCGCAGGGACGCCGTGTAGCACATATTGCGTAGGTATATTATTGTGTGGCCGTTCTTCCTTGTGGTTGTCTGTCGGCGTTCAAAATATTCTACTTCCTCCAAGAAAAATGCCACAGGTCACAGATGAAGAACTTCGCAAAGAGATCGAAAGTAAGTGAAACCTTCGTTTTCATAGCAATTATGCGTCTTGATAATTTTAAATCCCCAAAAATTACTTTAATTCCTATACAAGTTAACTTCAGTCCGGGGGACATGTAATGGCTTCCAATGAAAATGTTCAATACAACTTCGATTTTTCGAAACTTTGAATTGAAATATCTCTGACAGTATGTTATGAATACCAAAATGTTTCAAGCGAAAGTTGTTCAGAAATATTGTCCGTATAAATTTATATTGTAATCGTGATTTTTAAATGCTTCGTTTAGCGTGGTCTCTGGTGGTTTATTTTTATGCAACGCGTAAGATCCCCACGTATGAATCTATTTAATGGCGGATATTTTGTACTGAGAAAAACTTACGATAAATCCGCATTATAACTACAAACAGTTTTCACCTAATATGTTTTTTGATAAACGATATAATTTCATAGTAATATTATTAAAATTCATGAATATTAATCTTTTGTCAATTTCGACAAGCCGCCATTATCACGAACTACGTTCCGATTCACACTTTTTCTTTTTAGTTTATTTTTACCACCGAACAAAATAAGCGTAGATTATTCTGAAAAATCATGGACATAGAATTCTTTCCCAACGAGCGTGGCGAAATCCTTTATTATTCTGAGTTGTAAATAATAATGTCTTTACAGTGACTACAAAAATAAAATTATTTATCATGGGTACGACACTACGATGTAGCATAACTCGTTAGTTATTAAACCCATATTTTTGATTTTTCGTGCTTGATAGCTATGGATAGTTACCAAAAGACCTACCTAAGAATAAAGTAATAGAAATCAAAATTACGGATGGTAAGTGATAAATTTTGATGAATAATCTCTGTTTTGTTGTATTTTATGTGAAACTCTGCTAATAAACAATTTTCATGTAAGTAGTAGTTAGTAGTTTTACTGTACTAATTATGTCAATGAATGTAAACATTATGTTAGCAAAAAACGTGTTGGTTTTTAAACATGTTTTTTCTATCCCTTGATAACTTAAATAAAGTTGGCTTTTTTTAGTATGAGCAAAACGGGGATCCATTCTTTCTCCATACAAATTTGCTCAATCGTGTATCTTACATTTATGTGCAGATAAATACGCCAAATTCATTAAAAATATAAATGGAGTTTATTGTTCACTAGTACCACATAAAATATCGTTTAAACATTTAAAGTAATGGCAGCACAGATAATATATTACGGTAAATGTATATAAATAACTACAGAAATCATGAAAAAATAAACCATTGGCAAAAGCTTGAAATAAAAAACTTTCATAACATAACATTGATTATACATTTTACAATAAGTCATGCAGTTCTGTGTGCCTTTTGGCAAAGGCCTCCTCTAACCGACGCCATTCACCTCTGTCAGCTGCAACTCTTGTCCAATACGGACCCAGAGTACAGCTGATTTCATCCTCATATCTTCTAAACTGGAGTCCTCTCCTGCGCTTTCCATCTGTAGGATACCAGACTGTCACTCGCTTGCTCCATTTGTCTATGGTACCTCTCAGCAAGTGGCCCGTCCACCTCCATTTTTGTTTGTCCACTCTAGATAGAATGTCTGTTATTTGCGTTTTAGATCTTAGATCCTCACTTCTTATTCTATCCCTTAGACTTACTCCTGACATACTTCTCTCCATAGCCCGTTGACAATGAGTCAGGTTATCCCTTAGCTGCGTCGTTAAAGACCAAGATTCACAACCGTAGGTCAGACACGGTAAAATACAGGTATCGAAGGCTTTCCTTTTAATGTGGATCCCCAGACTCTTGCTTTTCATTATTTCTTTCATCAACCAGTATTTCTTCCAACCATAGGCCATTCTCTTGTTGATTTCTTTAGTCTGGTCACTAAAAGAAATAATTTGACCCAGATACACATATTCAGTAACATATTGAAAATGGTCCCCATTTAACAATAATCAATGAGATCTGAGTTGGTCATCACCTTGGTTTTTTCTTTATTTAACTCCAGGCCTACTTCTATACTAATTGTAGCTAAATCTTGGATCATAGTTTCAAGCTTCTTTGGATCCTCTTCGAACAAAACTATATCGTCAGCAAACCTGAGATGGTTAAGTCGACAGCCACTGATGTTTAGGCCAAAGTTTTCCCAATCCATTTTCCTGAAGATGCTTTCAAGAACAGCTGTAAAGAGCTTAGGAGACAGAGGGTCCCGTTGCCTTACACCCTTGCATATAGGGAATGGGTGGCCAATAGATTCTAGTTTTATGCTACTTATGCTTTGCTCATACAGGTTTTTAATTATGTTTATATATACTTTATTTAATCCTTGTTGCTTTAAACTTGACCATATGAAGTGGTGGTTAATCGTGTCAAATGCTTTAGAGTAGTCAATGAAAGCAAGGTACAACAGTTTTTGGTATTCATTGTATTTCTGAATAACTTGCTTCACAGTGTGAATATGGTCGATAGTACTGAAGTTTTTCCTTTGAAAGCTTGAAATAACAAACTATTAAATAACAGCCCATCGAAATAAACAAAAATAAGTGGAAGGGTTGACTAAAAGGCTTCGTACCAAGGTGATTAAATTTCATTGTATCGGATAAAAACACACACATGGTTTTTAATATAACCAATCACAATCAAGGAAATGAATTTGAACGTGAATATAACGTTTCTATATACGCAATCTGCGTATATAGAAACCCCCTTTGAAAATATTTTAATTGAGATTTTCTACAATTTCTATTGATTTCATCGATATTTTGAGGAGTGAGTCTTTTTAAATATAATATTAGATGTTTTTGAGTTAATTGGTACCAAGATACAAAAATTTGCAGAAATAAAGGTCTTATTTCTACTGAAGAATGAAGAATGGCCATAAAATAAGTTATTGCGTTCAGAATTTCATTTATATATTTTTTATATTTTAGTGTAAATGCAAGAGGGTCAATCGTTGTGGAAGGGCCAACACTAGGACAGGTCCACCGACTATTAGAAATAATACTTTCGATAATCGACTTTACTTTTTACTAGGTACGTAATTTAAGTTAATTTTACGTTGTCAGGTGCAAAGAGGGTTAATCCGAGCACAGCTAAATAGTCGTAACAGAGGCCCTTTGTCTCGTTCGGACAACATACCAACTAAAAAAATCTTAAATTTCAAAAGAGCCTAAATTATTTTCTTAATAAATAAATAACCAAGGAAGTTATATATCTAACGGTAACAGGAATGCTCACTTGCTATTTTGTAAAGAAATAATGTAAACCTTAACAAAAGTGTGTAAGGTCTACTTTCTATTAGATTTGAAAGAAAGTAAAAACGGTCTTGAATTCGAAAGAGACTTAAGTTTTTGGACTGCGGTCTCTGTGTTTGTTTATAAGTGTGTAGTTTATTAACAATTATTTGTCAAGAATATAGCTAACAATTACAATAACACTCAAGCTATCCTTTAGCATATACTTTCTTTTCTAGTTTCCTAAAAATTTTATGTGGTTACCATACACATAATCATAACAGAATTAAATAAAGCAGAATATTTCTTTAAATATTATTTAAAGCAAAAATATTTGAATACAACCTTAAACTACAAATTTTCTGCTTTAACCTTAAACTAAAAATGCATCAAATATTTTCATTTTGTAATTATTCCTCATGACTTCATTTTTAAGCGTTTTGACCGAGGAGGGACCACTTACTAGAGCCTATTATTCTGTACTGGTGGACTATATTAATATGGCACTCACAGGGAATGAAAAGTATATCCTGTTGACAAATTTAAGTTTTGGTTTAGCGAATCACACCAGAAATACACCAGCAACTTGTAACTAAATAGCTTTTTTAAGATTTGGAATGTAATTTAAAATAAATGATAAATTGAAAAGCTCAATTGTTTATGATTATTATGGCAATGGAATGGAAATATAATACACTCCCGGACACCTAAATCGAGCTATCTTGATTTTTTTGGTTTGGAGTACTGTAACTTATAAAAGATGTATGTAGAAGGAAAATGTTTTGATGCAGTTTTGGAGCTGGTATACTCATCATTCATTTAGAGTGCCACTGTTCTAAATTTGAACTACAGTTTATTAAAAAACGTCGAGTTACGTTGAAACAAGTCCATATTTGCTTTTTTCAGGGAAAAAAATCATGTTTTACATGAAAAGAAATGTTTATTTAGTAACTTGTATTGCCTCCCAGTGCATTTATGACAGCTTTCATACGGTTTGGCATAGAATTAATCAATGTCGTTATGACATGTTGAGGAATGTCCTCCCATTCTTCCAAAATTACATTTTTGAGCTCCTGCATGGTTTGCGGGGCAGGATGATGAGCTCGAACTCGCCTCTTCAGCTCACCCCATAGATGCTCTATAGGATTCATATCAGGACTTCGCGCTGACCATCTCATAACAGTGATACCAATGTCATTTAAGTACTCCCTGACCATTCCCGCAGTATGGGGCTTTGCATTATCATGCATTAAAACGAAATCTTGGCCAATAAATCCAGCATATGGCATCATGTGGTTCTCTAAACATTGGCGAATGTATCTATTGCCATCTAGGGGCGGCAGTCGTGGTCCCGTCACTACCTCTAGCTCAGTTTTGCCTTCCATAGAGATTCCTCCCCAGACTGTCCATGATCCTCCACCATAACTGACTTTCTCGTCAATACAGCATTCCGCGAAACGCTCGTTCTGTCTGCGGTACACCTTACTCCTTCCGTCATTACCGTATAGCATTATCTTGGACACATCTGTGAAGAGAACCTGGCTCCATTGATGTCGAGTCCAATTTAGATGTTCGCGCGCAAACTCTAGACGGGCTATTCGGTGTGCTCGTGTCAATTTGGGTCCATTGGCTGGCTTATGGGGCTTTAAACCACGTTCATTGAGTCGCCTTCTAACGGTCCGAGCTGTGAGTGACAGCCACTCCGTGAAAGTCCCTAAGCTGGGTTTGTATCTGAACAGAGTCGATCTTAAGGCGTCGATTTCGTAAGCTAGTAGTGACAATGTATTGATCTTGTCTCGCCGTTGTCACTCGGTAACGAGGTCCTCCTGTTCGCCGAACGAAGCAGCCAGTCTCCAGGTATCGGTGGTACACTCTTTGAACAGCGGAACGACTTATGTGAAGTTGTGAACTCACATCTCGTTGACTTAGCCCAGATTGAAGAAGTGCTACAGCTTGCGCGGCTACTTCCTTCAGGTGATGTATCCATAATTTTATAGCCAAAAACGGTTCAAATTATAGAAAAATAACTAAACTAAACTTTTGTTTACAACAATTGCGAAAATTCAAACCAAATCGACATTAAATTGCTTCAAAAGACGATGAAATATGCCAGCATTAAAAATGCATAAAAACTTTTTTGTTATTTTGTATATTTTTTGTGTATTGGGCTTTTAGGCCCGGGAATGTAAGGTGGCTCGATTCAAGAGTCCGGGAGTGTATTACTTATGATATTAAATGAATTACATTAAGTTATAAATCTTCATTATCATCAGTCCATAATATCCCACTGCTTGAATATAGATTTTCCTTTTTAACATGCTTTTCTTAGGTCGACCTGTATGTAATTAACTACAGTAGAACCTGTTTAATACGATCACGCTTAATAAGATTTTTCGCATAATATGCCATTTTGCGTCAGGTCCTGCAACTTGAGACATGTTTTCATACATTTCTTAACGCTTTATACGATTCTTCATCCCGTTTAATACGCCTAAATCGCCAAAATATCACACATATTACCGCTTGCGGCAGCGACCAGCGATTGACGTGACGACTGCCGAGCGACGCACGCTAAGCGGGCCCCAGGGTTTTCCTGGATATTCTTCCATTGATGACAATGTGGCACAGTATAAAATTCAATGAGAATGTGAATAACACACAAGAAGAGGCCCAAAGTGATAATTATCAATAAGAAGATGAGTCAACTCCGATTCTGTCACACGCCCTGTCATTATCAACAGTTAATGATTTAAAATGCTGTCATTTTTTTGAATCAAAGCGAAGACGCACGACAAAAGTTAGATTATGTTGAAAATCTTGTAATTGCTAATGCCTCAAAATCTTTTTGACAGACTAATTTAAGTGATCAATTTAAATAACGTAATAATAAATAATAATACACTACATTTTTTATAACATACATAATCCTTAAATTTTGTATATTTAATACCTCAACACCTACATTCGAAATTACCCCGCTTAAGACGCGTTTTTGGTCGAGTCCCTGTGAAATCGTCTTAAACGGGTTTTACTGTATGTAATGGAATCTAAGGTAATTAATTTAACCATCTTTCAAGGATCGTAGCGCAATACAATATTATGGTGCTGTCAAACTGATCTGATGATGGAGCCGGAAGATATGAACTGGAACTTCTTGATGGAACAACGTATCATAGCTGTTTTTGTATTTCTTAGAAAAGACTTGTAATGAACTTTGACTACGTATACGTTTCAAGGCCTGATGATGAAGCCGGAAGATAGGCACTGGCATTGCATGATGGAATATCGTATCATAGTCTTGTTTGCACTTGTGAGAAAGGCCACGTAATAGACTTACACGATCAGGATTCAAGGTTATAACAAACCTATTATATATTGACTTGTCTGCGATTGAGTGTAAATAGTGTAAATATTGACATAAGTGCCCGCATAAAATATATATAGACCTGTACATGGAAAGTGTTAATAGAACAACATTGATATATCTATATACGATGTATATTGACGTGTAAATAGGGTAGTAGGTTGTTAAAGATCCCACCCTAGCCAAGGTGAGAAACGTGCCGAGGGCTGAATAATATCATGTCGCTTGAACGCCTTGAGGGTCGGAGAGCTGGACAGAGCATCTCGCAGTATTGCTGACTAAGGTCTCATCAAATGCTACTGTTAAATATTTTGTAATTTAAAGATCCCTTTGGGAGCGTAAGTTCGTATCCTACCGGCTGCGCATTGTTAAATATAAGTAATTTAAAGTAAACGTTGTTGAAATAAAACCATTGCTTTTTGCGTCATCTCTGTCAAGTGGAAAAAATATATTTCTTTATAAAAAACATTGAAATTAAAAAAGTTTATAATACAATAGCTACCGGCGAGTTTGCGCTTGAAAAAGCATTGCGTAGTTACCCAACAAACGACCAAGTACAACAATGAAGTTCTTAAACTTTCGCAACGAAAGGTACTCGAATGTACGACATAAAAGCTCCAGACCGACTTTTGCGCGACCTGAAACCATACAAAAATACTTCATTGAAATCCATTATTAAGAATTTTCAAAGGGGCTAAAATCACGTTGCTATCCAATATAGACGTGGAGAAGGGACTAGTGAATAAGAGTATCGGATTTATCTCAGACATGCATCGACTCGCTGCACTTTAGACGCGCCCAAATATATGAAACTGATATACCGTCCTTTATTCAAAGATAATTTCGGAAACGACGGTGAGCACCTAATTCAGCCTATAGGCATCCAGTTCCCGGCCAAGTAATTTTAAGTTGGGTATCTACCGTGCACAAGATGCAAGGCTGAACGGTAGACCACGCAGTGGTGTACTTAGGGTCCTATACTTTTGCGGCTGGACAGGCGTATGTGGCCCTGTAGAGTAAAATCACTTATTGGTCTCCAGATTGAAGAGCCAGATTGTTCTAAGCTGACAGGTAAAATACCATGCAATACAGAGGCACTGGCGGAGATGGAGTGGATGCGCGCTCATTTGCCTACTTAAAATAAATGTTGAAAATATTTCGTTATGAAAGACTAAAAAGCATAAATAAATTAATAGTTTAAAGAAACTATAAAACCACGCTTTTATAAATGCACGTAAAAACTAAAAATAAATTATGTATCGTTCATGTTGTCTCTATATCTGGGCTGAAGTATAAACTATGTGCTTTTAATTTTAATATTTGATTGTAAGAGCGTGGGGCGCTGGAACAGGAATGTCTTTTCTTTTCCCCCTTTTTTATTTTACAAGTGGGGGGCACTTGTAAAATAAAATGTCTTATTTCATAAATCAAAATAAAGGTATGTGATAATGTAAATATATATGAAATCTTCATGGATACCCTATAGCCGGCTGCAGGGTTATATCAGACTTATAGCCTAAAACAAACCCGAGGGAGAATCTTCTGCCATAAGGGGCTCTCAGGCTTTATCTGATGTGATTATCCCCTGAGAAGGTGAAGATGCATTCCCCGTGACCTTGAAAACCCGTATAAATTTTGGTTGTTCGTAATGTAAGGATGGTGAGTTTTTTTTTCTTTAAGTATTAACACATTACAATCTCTACAGAGATCTTGGCGAAGGCGGACCTATCGAAAACCTCCACCAACAAAGTGATACAGAAGTTGGAAGAGGTGTTCGATACGGACTTGGCTAGCAAGAAGTCGACCATAGACAAGATCGTTCTCGACTATGTGAACTCGCAACCCAGCTCTGATGAGGAAGACGGCGGAGATGATGACGAGGTGAGCAATAGGGTGCATCAGAGCGGGAATATACTTAAAAGATAATAATAAAAAGCTAACACATAAGCCGATTCGTTTATTATTCAGTCTTAACTGGCGAAAACGAAACGGAATGGAATATGTTTGGCGCTGTATGACTTCTGTACTGACTTTACGTACGGTACGCTTTCGGTTTTCATTATTTTCATTATTATTTCACAAATGTCAAGAAAATAAATAAAGTAAATTATGCCTAGAAATAAATTAAATCGGAGAAATACAATGAAATTAAATAAATAACAGAATATAGAGAAATGCCGGTAAGTTTCCAGCACTCTGGAATAGTGATTTTAGTAAGATGGGATTTTGATACCTATTTACGATATTTTTGAAATTGTGCGTTGCCAGAAATTATTAATGAAAGATTAGAAAGAAAAGTGTATAAATATGATAAATAACCATGATAATAGATGACAAAATGTGTGAAATGGAATCTATGACTGCCAAAAACGATGGATCGTCCCTAAAGTACGTTACAAAGCGCGCGAATTACTTTTCTGTTCTTGATACCTCAGTACACATTTTAATGTATTTTGCAAAAATAATGACTTCTACTACCTCAAGTTATGAAAGTGATAATGCATTAACTCCTGAAACAATAACTATAGAAGCTAACAACGTCCTACAAAACTTATTACCCACAAAATCCCGGGAGAAATATTTAAGGACCTATGACAATTTCATTCTATGAAAAAACAGAAAAGGAGCGAAAAAGTTTTCGGAAAATGTGTTTTTGGCCTATTTTCAAGAATTGGCCAAAACTAAGTAACCTTCTAACCTTTGGAGTATACACTCAATGCTTAAATCTACAGTAAATACCAACGAAAGTATTAAAATTGATAGCTACTCAAAATTACTAGCTTATCTGAAGAGACTATCCGAAGGACACAAACCAAAGAAATCAAAAGTATTTTCTCACCAAAACGTGGAGTCTTTTTGAATGACGCACCTGATAAGGAATTTTTCGCAACAAAAGTATGTATCTTTTATTTTTCCATTGTAATTTATAAACAGTGTTTAAAAACGTGTACGTATTATTGTACCTACTTGTCTGATTTTCATTCTGTTTTTTTACAGGTGGTTTTAATATTCGGCATACATGGAGCTTGTCGTATTAACGAGCTTATAAAAATAACATTCAAAGATATCAAAAAACACTCAGATGAATTACTTTTAGTGAATTTAACTGACACAAAAACAAAAAATGATCGGTCTTTCGTCATTTGTGGCCAGTACAAACGAATAGTAGAAAAATATCAGAGCCTGCGTCCTTCTGATTTATAATATCTGATTTTTTTTTATTAGATACCTATCAAAATGGAAAGTGCTTCAAACAGATTATGGGAAAAAATAGAATATCTTCAATGCCCCTAGAATTCGCTATGTATTTGAAATTACCCGATTGCAAGCTATACACAGGACATTGTTTTCGCCGAACTTCCGCTACACTTCTCGCAGATTCTGGAGCGGACCTTACTGTTTTAAAGTGGCACGGAGGGTGGAAATCCAGCTCTGTAGCTGAGGGTTACATCGAAGATTCTATTCAAAATAAGGAAAAAACTAGCACCCGCATTGCGGAAAACATTAAATTAATACCTAAAGACACTTAATCCATGCCATTATCGCCACATCCTTCTACATCAATGGATTCTGTACCTTTTCTTGATCATCACTCAGATACTAAGATAACAAATACTCAAAATGTAAATGAATCGACAACAATATCGATTCCAAATAAAACAGTAACAATATTTTTTAATAATTTCGCTAGCGTATCCAATATAAATATAAATTTGTAATTATTTTAACTTCATTTCACGTCTTCTTTTAATTAAATATATTCATTATTACATAACACCGTCTCTTATTTATTTTCTCATAGAAAGGGGATGAAAAGTAGAGTATAGGAGTCGAGAGCAAATTATTTTTCCCTCCCTTGCTGCGCTCAGGATTCTACGTTAGAATCCTATTCTATTCTAGAATTCTTCGCTTCGCTCGTGCTTTAAAGTAGCGCACTCGCCATAAAAATAGTATTTTGCTCCCTTTTCGTACAATCTACTATTCAACCATTTAAATAAGAGGGCGGCAAAATTGTCCTTCGCCCCGGGTGGCCGACATCCACGCTACGCCGCTGCGTCCAGTGTGCCTTTTGGATAGGTTTCGGCCACGATTTTGTTCGTGTTGTTGTATCTAGGGTATTAATATTAAATATCGTTGGCTCAGTCTGTCTATATTCTATGTTATATTAAGCTTTATTGCATAAGAAACCTCATCTAATCTCCACGGGATAGGAGATGGAGTCGGGGTAGGCCACTGCGCGAATGTTATTTTTTTATATCGCAAGCGTCTATAAGCTATGGTAACCGTTTACCATCACGCGGGCCATAAGCTTATTTGCCACCTTTTTAACATAACAAAATATGTTATCTATCGTCATTACAGAAAGATGATGATGAAGAAGAAGAAAAGGAAAAACGAAAACCTCCCAAGAGGGCTGCCAAGACCACACAGCCCGCCAAGAAGGCGCGCAAAGAATCCGTGAGTTTATAAATATATCTAGTATTATTTAAATATTTCCGAATTCTGGCTTGTTTCTCTAAACCTAAAACTAACATTGAACCATAATAGTCTTGCTTTTTCATTTTGTATAGAGCATGACAAGGATACATTGTTGTGGAATTTATTATCAGGCTTAGAGAATCATGCCAGAATTGGGCATATTATTATTATAACCATGAATGTATGTCCCCCCACTGGGCCACAGGCCTATCCTATGAAACAGTCATATAGGAAAGGCATTTCGAGCCATGACTAACACACGTACCCAATGCCACAGATTACTTCATAGTTACTGCCACAATGCAGGTAGTTGGAAGAAATAATTCATGTTTTTATAACCAATCTCCGCCCGCGACTTCGTACGCGTGGAGTTAGTTATTTGCACATACTTTTTGAACCAAAAAGGGGGTTTATTTGTAAAAATACATTATTAGTACACCACTCTACCATCTACACAGCATACATGTTAAATTTCAAGTCTCTTACTTCAAAAACATAGGACTTACATACAAACTTCGAACCCCCGCATTACCCCCTTACAACGCCATCTAGTTAGCAAACAGGAAACATTTTTATATGGTGAAAAATTATAACACATCTAAGTTATGACCTTTACACGATTTTTTAACATAAAATAAATGGCTATGTTTGAGTAGAAAAAGTCTAGCTAGTACCACATCTCACTTAAGTTTATATGCGACATGAAAATATATTGATTAATAATTAAGAAGCAATAATTACACCAATAAATACCGATCACATTTTTTTATTGCCATATTCTTAAACGAATTAACATTACAATTTTTAAGAAGAAAATGCACAACTCACATTTATTACTTTTAAAAACAACTATTGACCTCGCCCACATGATCAAATTTAAATTATTTATATCCAAAAAGTGCTTACACATGTAATTTGACTTGTTGTTTTTGAAATCTCATAGATTTGTTTATACCCAAAAAGTGCTTACATAATCATGTAATTCGACTTGATGTTTTTGAAATCTCATAGATGGTGCTGCTTTAGAATTGTCTATTGTGTTTATCGGCCTAAGTTACTTATAGTGTGAAGCTAGCTTATAGCATGGTTAACATAATAACAACATTCAAATATGCGTCGTTAAATTACACGTTGTTACAGAATGCGTTGAAGAAATAAAGGTTCACTGCTCGTTCCCCATAGGTGATAGCGTGATAATATGTAGCCTATATGTTGTCCCAACTTCTTAATAATATTCGTGTCAAATTTGAAGTAAATCCATGCAGTACTTTTTGAGTTTATCCCGGATATACATACAGACAAACAGAAAAATATTCTAAAAACTACATTTTTGGCTTCGGTATCGATTGTCGATCACACCCCAAGTATTCTCTTAAAAAAATATTCAATGTACAGTTTTGACTCTCCTACCATTTTATTATATGTACAGACGTTGCTCATTTACCTATGTATTCATTGTGATTTCACAGCGCCGCAAAAAGGGCTCCTCCGATGAAGATGAAGACGATAGCAACGATAGCGAGTTCGAGGTAAAATTAGGTGACCTAAAACTTTCCCTCTCTCACACATTCCTTTCAGGAATAACGTGAGGGTAGAATAGATTGGCGTAGTCACTTTGGTTATTTCATGACTTACTTAAATTCACAATAATTTTATTATAATAATTTACCTATTTTACTATTTTCAGGAGAAGAAGGCTAAGCCTAAGAAGGCAAAAGGCGGAAAAGTAAGTTTACATAAAAATGCTTTCCTACATTTATATGAATTTAACAAAATGCATCCTAGAAATATGCACGAGTCAACAACACATTTTCGTTGCTGTTGCCAAAATGTGTAAAATTTTCTCAAATAATTGTAAATCTTATGTTAAGTGAGGTAAAGCTGAGTGTCAATTAGAGAAATAGCATACCAGATTCGTGTAACTTGACCTGTGGCTGTCTATAACTATCTGTCTGTCCTGCTGTCTAGAATAAATTGACACACGCGATTTTAAAATTATTTACTAATAAGACTTATATCAAAATGGTTAGTTCACTGAATCCAAAATCCTCAATTGAGTATACCTACACGAAATAATACTTCAGCTACTTAGGAATTGAAATATATAGTTCAATATTTTATTTACAATTTTTTCCCAGGGCGGAGGTCGCGGCAAAGGCAGCGGCTACACGCGCGCCTACAAACTATCGCCAGCTCTCTCCGACCTCATGGGTGCGGAAGAGATGCCGCGACACGAGGTCGTAAAACGCATGTGGGCTCTCATCAAAGAGAAACAGCTGCACGACCCTAACAACAAGCAGTTCGCCATATGCGACGAAGCTCTATACAAGGTCATTGGCACCAAGAGATTCCGCATATTTGGCATGATGAAGTACCTTAAGTCTCATTTCATCGACGAGTAGTCGTTTCAGCATGAAACTACCTTTGAAACTTTTTATTTCTTGTCCCTTTTCGCTCGCGTCGGATCGGTGACCCTTTGACCCTTTTGAGCTATAGGTACGTAATAAAATGATTTTGAGTTATTATAGTCACGTCATTCACCCTTTTTTCTCTCATTACACCAACAATGATTTTGAATTTGTTATAATGGATCCGCAAATAGTCGACTAGGAATAATTAGACGATTCAAAAACAAGCAGCAGGGGCAGCAACATTGGCACCATGGGGTTCCGCTTATTCGATATGATGAACTAGCATAAATCGTACTTCAAACGCTTGTTAACTCGATACATTTCTTGCGAAATACTCGCAATTATGGAGCTGTCATGTCATCGGACAAAAGCTCCTAAACAAAAAAGATAAAAAAAAAAACTCGCAAGTAACGTAAGAATGCACAACATTCGGGTTATATTAAAAAGGAGTTATGAGACAAGGCTGTATGGACGTAGTATAGCTCTTGCCTCTCCAGTGGGAGCATTCAACCAAGATAACGGAACTTCTGCTGCCATTTATTTTTTGATGTATTAAAATTGAAATAAATATTTTGTAGTTTACAATATTATATCAGTCCGTACAAAGCCTAAAGTTATAAGTAAAATCTACGAGCCGAGCATTATAGCTTACTAGTAAAATTGCTGTGATATCAATTAATTGATTAATGTTACGGATAGGCAGCAATTATTAAATAAAAAAATATGAATAACTAATCTTAGATCTAATCTAACGTTTTTTTGTGGATTGCATTTATAAAAAATCATTTGATGACGTCATTCACTGACAAGTAGAGTTTTATTAAATATTTAGTCCTAAGTAAATAGATGTACTTGTAGTCTTGTACACTCGTAATTTATAAGTTTTTTTCGTACAGGAAAATGTACAAAAATGACAAAGTTTTAAACCAATCATATTTGCAATAATATGATAGATGATAAATTATGATACCTATTTACTTTTGCGAGGCTTTTGTTTGGTTCAATCCCTTAAACAAGAGTTGAAATTTACACAGAGTTGACATTTATTTCTTTTATGATTATTCATTAAATAATTTTGTAAGTAAAAAAACTGTATGCGCAGCATTGCGGAAGCTGGTCCTTCTTTTTGCTTAATGCTTTTGTACTTGAATAGCCATACTGTTAAAGGGAAAGTCAAGCAACAGCCTAGGTATAAAGTTGCTATCACTGCAGGTTAAATTTATTTGACAAATAACAAGACACATTTTTATCTGAACTCGCAGGGTTGCCAATTTTATAAATTTTAATATTAGCGCAAAAGAACCATAAGTAAGCATTAGGTAAATACTTGTGTGGTAATACATACACTTAAGTATTTATGTACTTAAACACTTTGCCAGCGGATCACGAATAAGGTTTTAATTTCGAATAGGATACGTGATGCATGTTCTTACTTACTGTCATTAATCTCGTATCCTGTCCGAGATCCGCGATCAAAATAATATTCTTGTTGATATTACACACACATTGGAACAAAATTGCGCTATGTAAGTAAGTTCATTCAGGCACAAGTCCGTACTGAACCGCAGCCCACAGGCCGGCAGAAGTGAAAACTTGAATATTAACGTTGTGCATTTTTGATATTTTGGAATGGTTTGAGAATAATTTTGCATGAATTGCTTTAATAATCAGTATAAAAGTACTATCATGTATGTGGTAGAATACAATATTTATTTATTGCGCTATTAAAAAGTTATTATTTAAATATTATTAAAAAGTTTATCTCACAGAAAAATCAAATAACAAGAATCACATTCAAGCGCACCTAGCGACATCTATTGTAAAAAAATGCATTTTCTTCGCAATAAAGCTGCCACGTGGACGTCCTAGATAGAGACTTATTATCGTCCAATATATTGAGTCAACAACTTTTCCAATTTTATTGTGTGTCATGATGCGATCAGACCTCGTGTTTAATTTTTTTTTTCGATGACGGGGAGAAAAAATGTATGACGCGAGTTTAAAAATTTTTACCCATACAAAAAAAAGTGTACAACGCCGCTAAAGAAGTTTTCACTTCAAAAATAAATTAAATGGCGTTTTACAGGAATTACAGGAGTTTGCTCAAAAATCGGCACAGTGGCAACTTATAAACGAAAGTTGGTAAAACAGGTTTTTCTATGCAGAGAATTTTCTTGTACTCTTGCCATGATAGAAGCCGCTGGGGTTGTACTCCAGCGGTTTCTATCATGGCAGATAACACAGCGCACCCGTTTTGGAAGCTTTTCAGGAAGATGTTCGGCATCATCTAGTTGTAAACCCTCTATGTTTGATGAAGAAGGGCGAGAAGAGTAACTGCTTTGTGTAGCTTGTTTTAGGTAAAACCTTACAATTTCGTTTTGTCGAAATAGCAACTGGTCCATGACGTCATCTTCTCTTGAAAGAACATGCAAGCTAAATTTTGTAATAAGCATGTCATTTTGTAATGATCATGAAATCTTTTAAACTTTGAACATTTTATCAGTGGTGTTCGGAGCGACATTATTGTTCACGAGGTGCAATTTTCTTTTTATTCTCTGAATTGTTTCAGCTGTTTGTGGTAACCAGACTATCAATATTCCAAAGAAAACAATTCAGCTCAGCAGCAGTGATGGAAAAACTGTGACTGTTGTTTTGGATCGCTTACAGCCGACTGATGGTGGATAGTAAAGATCTCGTCGTCAAAAAACTTTTCAAATATTTTTTACAGTTGTCAATTCTTCTTTTATACGCTTGTCATTGCCCAAACGGTCGTCGGATTCTGCGTAACTCTTAGAATAATTTGGAGTACATCAGTCGGTAACAACACTTGGTCCTAGTGGAATTATGGCCAAGTCATACTCCAAACCATCGTCACTATCCTCGAGTACTTAGTACTAGTTACTTGTAGTCGTTGTTCACAAATTGGTACACCAATATTTTCCATGTAATAATGACTTATGTATATAGTTTTCGGAACTGCAAATCTGTTTAAATATATGCTTGGCTATTTATTGTTTATAGAGATATATAACTATTCATATGGAAATCTGTATTGCATATAATAATAAAAATTACAAGCAGGTACTTACCTCCATGAGTCCCTCGTTATAGATTTTTTATTGAATTTTATCCAAAAACAATACGCTTTTATGAAATAGATTAATATTATATTTATTCAGGATACTTTTGACTGTTCATTAATATAAAAATACATTGACCAACTTCAATATATTTTTTACCTACCCTCATTAATTATGTGTACCGAAATTGTCACAGTGGTCAAGAATGGGTTAGTGACATTAATCTTTAAATCAAAAATTACACCATTTAAAATCCATAGTACTTAACTCTAGAGATAATTTTAGCTTGTAAGTCTCATGTAAGAGATTTTTTTTTTTCATAAAAAAACGTACAATATTCACATATGAATAAAACAAAAAATATTTATTTATCGTTATTAATTTTTTGTATACAAAATATACTAAAGTAATAACATAATTAAAAAAATCAAACAGATATCTATTATCTGTTTGATTGTATTATAGTTTACATTCTATGACCATTTGAAATATGCCAAAATCGGCCCGGGTTCGGCGGGATCCGCGTGTGTAATTGCTTCGCTGGGAAAGTGTAAGTTACAAAATATAAAACTTCAAAATCTAACATCATAATGTTTACATTTCTAAATAATACCGGTTATTAGTATCAGTAGAATTGGCAACCTTAAAAGTAAAATTACGAGTCGAATATTGAGTTAGATGACAAAATGTTTATATGATACACAAAATTAATAAATGATTTAGTCCAGTCAATGAAAGCTTAACTTTGCCATTTTGAGTTGATCACCTACAACCAACGCGAAAATTTCCGTAAGGTTTCGTAGATTAATATACTAAAATTGCAAGGTGCAGCATTGACTGTACAGGGTGCAAAAACGAGTTTTTCGTCAATATCTCGCGACTGGCTGGGAAAATAGAAAAAGTTCCTAGTACAAAGTTGTAGAAAATTTAATTTCCTACAAAAAAGGTATCAACACATTTTCGCGTATCTCCCATAGTTTTTGCACAAAATACAATAGAAAGGTGCCAAATATATATATATATATATATATTGACACTCGTTTTCTCCATTTTAAAACGATCCTAAGGGTCAAATTCAACAATCATCACTTACTGAAATATTAAAGGATAATTTTCGGAAGTCCACTGAAATGAAAAGCGTCTACCGAAATGGTAAAAAAATGACCACCGAAATGATACAGCCAACAACATTGCCTTTGTAATAGAAGGGTTCCCCTACTTTGAATCTAAATAAATTTCCTTATTCCTTGTAAATATTTTTGTTCGTTATTTTATATTAAGAATTAATTAATTGTTACTCCTATTAATTATTATTACTAATTATAATTATTAATAGGTACATTTTCAAAATAACGAACAAAGCGCGTTTAGAAAGCGAGAAGTTTATTAATTAGTAAATCGTCCCCTAGTGCCAAAACCGATTATATGCACTTTTCCTTTTCACTTCACTTCACTTTTAGTGAAAAAACAGAATAACTACAAATTATTTCCAAAATTCTTGATTTAAAACCTAATAAACCCATTTAAAACACATGTTTGTAAATGTATTACCACTGAAAACAAGTTTCGGATTTAAACTAATTTTTCAGATAGACACTTAGAATAAATATCCTGTGAGATTATTCCGTTAAAATTAGGTATCCCACGGTAATTGACTTTGACTGTTTGAATTTTACCAGATATTTTAATTTTGCTAGATTTAGTAAAAACTAACAAATTTAAATCGCTTTTTGCAAAAAAAAAGGTAAGTAAAAGAAGATACCGAATTTCAATTTGTTTTTACTGAATAACTTTTATTCGACGCTTTATAAATTACTTCAGCTAAAATCGATTATAGGTGCTTACTCTTTTCTTTCACTGTAATTTATTAGCGTTAGTCATTGTTAGTTTAAGCTAAAACCAGCTATCCATGTTTAACCGTCTCTTCCGTACACAGATCGCGGACTAGCGAGCGAGTTGCTCACTTTTATTTTTATACTTTACTGGGTAAACTATTCTACGTTTTTGGTTTAAAATGATAACTGCTAAGAAAGACGACGATGAAAAATAAACTTCAAAAATATCACGATACACAATAGAAATAACTATGTCACGTGAACTTACGCGACCAACTATCAGCCAATAGCTGTCACCTCAGTATTGTGCAGTCTTAGAAAGAGTCCTTAATAACCATCTGACCCGCTACCTAGAAGACCACTCTCTGATCGACGATCGTCAATACGGATTTTGACCGAATCGATCGACAGGTGACCTAGCGTACGTGACATATATCTGGGGTAAAGCTATCGATAAGCGAGGTGAGTCTTTGGCTATCAGCCTTAACATCGCCAAGGCTTTGATAGGGTATGGCACATAAGTCTTCTCTCCAAGCTTCCTGGTTACGGTTTGTCTACTCAGTTCTGTGCCTGGGTAGCTGACTTCCTGCAAGAGCGTCGACGGACGGCGACGGATGTAGTTCGCAGTTCATGTCAGTGAGTGCCGGTGTTCCTCAGGGCTCCGTCCAATCCCCTACACTCTTTTTGCTGCATATCAATGATTTAATTCCTATTGAGAATATTCATTGCTATGCGGTCGATAATACAGTGCATGCGGGATAGTTTGGATACGCAGCGGCTGGACAGGTAGAAACCAAGGAGTAACTTGGAGAATCTTGTCATTGAATTCAATCAAAATTTGGACCGCATTTCCGAATGGGGTACCTAAAACTTAGTTGAGTTTAATGCCAAGAAAGCCCAGGTCTGCGCTTTCACGGTAAAACTAACGTTTTTTCACGCCTGAGCAACTGTGCTTGTTGTACAAGACGCAAGTATGGTCTTGCGTGGAATATTGTTCGCACCCCAGAGGATGGCTCCACCAAGTATTTTTTTGATGCTTTGGATAGGTTACTATACCTTCAGAAGTCTACACGCGCGCGCTTACGTTGTCACTGACTTACTGTGAACTACTATTCCCACTATTCCAACGTGAATAAAGAAATTTGGTAACTCATTTCTTTGTCAGACAACCCGCAAATGGATTACTTTGCCCGCTTATGTGTGTGACGTAGCAATTCTGCAGCCCGGCAAAGTGAGGATAGCTGGTGTGGCAAGTAAAACTGCTGTACCAGCTATCTTCGCGTTTGGACTGCTCCGTCACTTAACCTCTGGTGGAGTCATTTGTCGAACCTATTTATAAAAAAGAAATCTATAGAAAAAAAAGGATCTCGTTGATTTGTGCAACAAAGGTCATACCTGAGGAGTGCCATGGATTATACAGATTTTTTGCTACAGAAACAAGCCAATCTGATCGTTTGCCTTCAGAAACCATTTCTGATGACTTATCACGTGCAAGCGGGTTAAGTATAGATGAATAATACTGTTTTTTTTATAAAGAAATACTATCGGTCGCCAACGACTTCGTCCATTTTAACTTTAATATACATATTTAAACTAGATATTTTAGATAAAAATACTACTGCACCTGAAATATCAAACCTACAGTATCTAGGTAAATGTACATCATAAACCGAAATTATTTAATATACTTATAATGACTCAAGGACCTCTAAAGACTTATGGATGTATCATTTCGTAGATACTTTCATTCCCGTGGACTCTTATCGGCATTACAGTCCACCGAATCAATTGTCCCAATATCACTGAAATGTTATAATTACTATTTGGCGGGAATCCACAATGACATTGTTGCGCGTGCGTGTGCTCCGACCAGCTAAGGCAGACTGACTCGAAGTGAGCACTGATAAGTGGGACACAACAACACAATGTAGACGAACCTATTTTACTGAAACTTAATGTCCATGGAAATGATAACTTTTTCCAGGACAAAAGTTGAGTGCTTGTTACATGTATAAGAAAGAAGGTAAACAAACAATAGTAGTTTTTGTTGATAGGCTATATTATATATTACTGATACAAAAGTTAATTTCAATCCAAAAAATTAATTAACTACAGGGGAAGTAATTTTACGAGAGGAATTGGGTTCAGGATAGGTCACCGTGATGACAAAATGCCACTTTGTATTTTTTTATTTTATCAAATAGAACCCATTACTCAATAAATATTTTTGCCAAGGTACCTACTTAACAAAAGAAAAAAATTCAAAATCATAAATCAGTACATTGCATTGTCGCTCTGAGGAATGCCGTGTATTATTTTACCATTTCGGTAGACACTTTTCATTTCAGTGGACTCCCGAAAACTTATCCTATAATATTTCAGTAACTGATAATTGTTGAGTTTGACCTGTAGGATCCAGTCGCGAGATATTGACGAAAAACTCGTTTTTGCACCATTTCGCAATGTTTTTGCACCCTTTGCCGTCAATGCTGCACCCTGCAATTTTAGTACCTATATTAATCTGCGAACCCTTACGGAAATTTTCGCGTTGGTTGCAGGTGATCAACTCAAAATGGCAAAGTTAAGCTTTGATTGACTGGACTAATTGTAGACTGTGTAATCAATGTGTGTGTGTGAGTTTTATCAATTAGGTTTTTTTGAGAATTGTAGACTTTTCAGAAATTGTAGAATCGGGTAGTTTACATCCTCAAGCTAGAAGTTCACATGCATATTAGTATTTGCTATTTGTGATTTTGACAACAGTATAAATAAACTTATCACGTTTTAAAAAGAGTGTGAATTAAAAGACTGCTCTCAAATATACAAATGCAAATACGAATAGCCATGGCCATGGCCCTTGTGAAGTGCCAATTTTCTAATAATGGGGGCAAACACTACGTTATGGAATAAATAAGTTTTTGGGGTAATGTAGCCCACAAAACTTTACTACTACTTTGAATTTTTATTGTTTTCATTTTGTGATCTCAAAAATGTGCCTTGTTTTTGTCTCGGTATGGTACATATACTTCCATCGTGTGACGTCTACTTTTAAGGACCTAGTTCGCTAAGATTGTATTATACTACTAATAGAATAGGACTATCAGTCTATGAACTGGACTGTGTGTGAGGAAAATAAAAAAATAATAATCGTGACCAGTTTTTTATTTTTACAATTTCCGATTACGTAGGTACTGAATATTATTTTAATTTTAATAACTATGAATTTCAAATTTAATTGGAAATAGATCAATCAAGTTCACCTTTCCTTTTTCTCATCCCTGTTGAGTTTCCATATCGAGTAGTTCAAGGTGGTAGCGCACCACAGCCAAAGTAGGTACGGCAGCATCATATATGCGGCCGTTCTGTTGACGCTGCCGAAACTTGACGTGCACGCGACCACCGCAGCGTTCAGCACAGCCATGGTGACTAAACCCTGCGGTATTGAGGACAAAGTGATGCCAGCACTTTACTTGTCTATTCGTATTTGCTATTTGTATTTTTTACAGAATGAGAAGTAGAGTAAAAAGGAGAGCTAATGGGATGGAAAATGAAGGCTGTGATTTCGGACGCAATGGGCTTATTTACACTAATTTAAAGTAATTCACAAAATAATATTAAAAGATGTCATACACAAGAAAACTAGAACAAAATTTTTTTCGATACAACAACGAATTCGATATTGGATCGTGCTAGGGGTACAGTACCCTTAGCACGAACCAACAGTGGCGGGGCAAGACCTAAATTTGATGTGGGCAAGGCAGATTTTGAGGCGCGAGGCCCCTTGTACCGCGAGGCTGTAGGCGGTGGCCCACGTCGCCCACGCCTTACGCCGCCTCTGCGAACCAATATCGAATTCGAATAGTATGCGAGTCCGAAATGTCATTGCCAAATGTGTACCGTTTTTTAGTTCTCGTTATACGTAACGAGAACTAAAAAACGCTTTGTGGCGCTGCCTTTCAACTTTCCATACAATATTTTACATTGTCATTTCGCACTCGCAAACTATTCGAATTCGATAATGGTTCGTGCTAGCGGTACACTTTAGTTTACAAGTATACTTTCTCGCTACCATGCATTCCCGACCGTCATGGTCACACCAAACCGTAGCAACACCAGTGATGTTCATGTTTGGGGTACAGGTACAGCAGTGCTATTCTGTAAGAACACTTCACCGCGGAATTGAAAAATACCTAGTATATACTCAACTTTATTGGCCACAACCTATTATTTAATATGCTATCGATCTCCTTAAGCTTACTCACCAAACCAATTTTGTGGCATCCGAAGAATAACGGCGTCCATATCCAGTTTAACACCAGTTGTCCACCGTAAAGTGACAAAGGAACTACTGCCATATCTGCAACATAAAAGGAACGTGAAGCACCTCGTCAAATAATACCTTCCCTTTTGGGGGAGAATCAATGGAACATCACGAAACAGACAAAATAAAAGTCATATCATCTTCCCGTGGATCTTGCAGATCGAAGAGAGTGAATACTTAAAGAGAGACCAAATCTTTTTCCCAAATAAGAAGCAAAAACCACAAAGTCACACAATAGGCCCCGGACAGAATAAGAGGTCTTAAAATACCTCTGATCCATATAAATACTAAAGCTTCAGGTATATTTTATCAACAGAGGTTCTTCAGGCCACGTAGTGGTACTTACATTAATAGTTGTAACTATAAAGACTTGAATGTTTTTCACCGTTGGAACTGTTTATCAACTTACCGGTGAAACCACCGCAGTCCCTATACACCATGTACGAGGCGGCACCCATTGTAGTGTATAGAACAGTCCACGTAGGTCCGAACACCCAGTTGGGTGGGGTCCACGAAGGTTTCCTGAGGCTCTGGTACCAACCAGTGCCGTCGGGCTTCTTGACTTGCCCCACCATTGTCAATGTGCTTATCCAACCCCCGACGTTGGGCAAAAACATGGCGCCAACAAAGCTCCAGTTCACCATATTTCTATTATGTGAACGGAAAAGTAATTAAGTATCTACCTTCTTACTTGGTAAACATGGGCTGAAGCTGGCTGAAGTGCATTTCATAAATAAAAAGTGTGCTAAACTCTATCATATTATGGCACGTCTGGTGTCTAATCGCCTAATGGGATTGCTATGTCTATAGCTATAGCTTACGATTTCATTTTGTTATTTCTGACCGCCGAAGGTTTACAAATGCCTCGCGCTCTTTTTTTTCTCATTTGCATTCGCGGTATCGCGGGTACCCCGCAGACGTGCGCAGGATGGCCCGTACGTGGGTTCTGATTCTGAGTACGCGGCTTAGTGCCCACCGTACCGCCCACCGTCCGCTGCGGAGGGCTAGGGTAATGGCACCAGTGATACGGATGCAACATCGTTCTGAAAAATCGATATTTTAAAACATCGATGTTTGCATGAAAAACATCGATGTTCAAAAATATCGTTGATAAGAGGGATATATGCCGATGTTTTTTATTTTTAATAGGATGCTTCATTGAAACAATACCGCTCTATTCTGTATAAGTATGCATGATGCTTTAAGGGAAATTACATGAAATTAAATTATAATAAATAAAAAAATTAATATGAACTGTCAGTTCACAAGCTGCTTTAATCAACAAGCTATTAATTCGTTTTGTCATTTTTTTTGAGCTTTAAAATTATACGCACAATTTTCACATACCCGCCAACAAAAACCTAAAGAAAAAACAAACCATCAAAACCTAACTACTTTACAAATTAATTCAACGAGTACATTACTCACCCAATCAATAAAACTAAAATGTGTTTAGGTATATAGTCAAAGAATCAAATTATATTTAATCAAATTCATCTATGCTTTACGTGTCAGCACAACAATGCAATGCGAGCGAGCGTCACAGTGATTCCGAAAATCCGAACAGACAAGAACGATGTCGATGTTTGTAAATGTAGTGTACGATGTATCGACGATATATCGCTCATCAAAACATCGATGTTTATGACAAATTTCAAAATGCCGCCGGCAGTCCTCCGAAAAAAAATTAAAAATTAATCCCCACATTGCCATAAACTTGATTCGTTTTTGCGCTTTCGCCCCAAAATTCGTATATTTTTTATTCCCACATTGCCATAAACTTGATTCGTTTTTGCGCTTTCGCCCCAAAATTCGTATATTTTTTACGTAGTACTACTCATAGATGAATGGTGTCGCTTCACACGACTAAAGCGAGACCAATCATTTATTTAAGTTAATAGTACTCATTTTTGGCTTTTTCCAGGACAACTGTCAATTAATGACAGTTCACTAAGATACACTCTCCAAAATTCTAAATTGCTCATTTACCGATAATGCTGGGAAGCAGGCTTCACTCCCTGTTAGTTTCGGAGGCACCTAGTACCTACCCGCCATATTTCTCATATTGCCCTTCCTGCTTTTCTGTCTTCTGCATACGGTACAGCCGAACTCTCTAATAAAATATTATGTCCTTCTTTGGGCGTAGTGAAGTTGGCTCACCTTGCAGAGGCCAGAAGCGTATGGTCTCTAGGAGTCTACGGTATGCCCGGAAGTGGATCCACCATCACCTTTATTGTCTCAGAGGAAGTGGGACGAGCCGCTCTGTATGCGTATTCAGAGTGATCTTTTATCATCCTCTGAAAGCTCCACTAAGCGTGCTCGCCTTCTAGCTGTATTACAGGCAGAGTCTGGTTACTGGCTGCAAATTTTACTTTCAGCCAATATCGGGACTTTGCTTGACAAGAGCACTCTGTCTTTTGCGATATGGCTTAGACTTGGCGTCAAGACTAATCATCCCCATCGCTGTCGTTGCGGTACTCGCGTCGGTGAGCTGGGACACCATGGCCTCTCACGCCAAATAATCGCTGGGAGACTCGGCCACGCCTACATCAATGACGTCATCCGCAGGGCTCTTGTCGCTGCCAACGTAACGTGCCAGCGGTCCTTGAGTCGAAAGGCATCTTCCGGTACGATGGCAAGAGACCTGATGGGATGACGCTCATTCTTTGGAAGCCAGGGTTGTCCTCTTTTATTTTGTAAATTATTTATTTATGTAGGAAGTAGGTTAAGCTATATAGTTTTTAAGTTTATGTTATTTTCATGTATAATCTTTGTATAAATAATAAAATTACAGTAGATTTTTGTTTGAATTAAACTAGTTGAGTGTGTTTGATGCTTTTCATTAATTTAAATAATTGGTGAGATAAGAAAATTTCATTTTATTACACTTCAAACACAGAGGACAGAGCAAAAATGGGGGATACACTGGGATACAATTTATTTTGGAAAACGATTTTTAACTTTCACATATACACACACACAGGTAAACACACACACACAAATAAAAAAAAAATGGGTGCGTGTACTTATGTAGGCGCGTGAGAAGTTATCCTTCTTTGGCATCGTTTAAAATTAGTTTTTAATTGCATGCAAATAATTAATAACAATAAATTAATAAAAAGTCTGGAAAAGGACACAGTCTATAAAGTTCAGTTGTAATTTGAAAAAATAAATAAATAATCAAAATATTCAATTAAAATCGCTACTGAATATAATTTATTACAACATATGTGATTTGCACTTGTATGAAACTCAAACACGTATTCCGAATATACAAACTAGAAACATGTGGATAAATATTATAAATATGAATACCTATAACTGTTACTATATTACAAAAAATAAAGATGTGGTTTTTGGTTCTACTACACAAATGGTCAAGAGATGGCGCTGTAGTCTCCTGAATCGCGCTTTGGTTCCGTTGTTTCAGATTAATAAATACTTTTGATAGGCCTTCACAATGCAGTCGTTAGCACCCACTAAATACAGATTCTAATTCTATTTTGTTGGTAGATTTTCTTAATGTGCGGTAAACACAAAAGTAACGCATGAAGTTGGTCGCTAAAGCGAGGCTAGCGTCGCTAAAGCGACCAACTTCATGCTGTTAAAATTTTGTGTTACAGTGATGCGCGCGCATCTTAAAATTTCACTCTCATCATTTTTTCATAACGCGCCTAAAGAAGTATAACTTCAAAAATGGGTGCGTGTACTTATTAAAAACAATAAATTAATAAAAAGTCTGGAAAAGGACGAAGTCAATAAAGTTCAGTTTTAATTTGAAAAAATAAATAAATAATTAAAATATTCAATTAAAATCGCTACTGAATATAATTTATTAGAATATATGTGATTTGCACTTGTATGAAACTCAAACACGTATTCCGAACATACAAACTAGAAACATGTGGATAAATATGAATACCTATAACTGTTACTTTATTACAAAAAATAAAGATGTGGTTTTTGGTTCTACTACACCAAGAGATGGCGCTGTAGTCTCCTGAATCGCGCTTTGGTTCCGTTGTTCCAGATTAATAAATACTTTTGATAGGCCTTCACAATGCAGTCGTTAGCACCCACTAAATAGAGATTCTATTTCTATTTTGTTGGTAGATTTTCTTAATGTGCGGTAAACACAAAAGTAACGCTAACAGCATGAAGTTGTTAAAATTTTGTGTTACAGTGATGCGCGCGCATCTTAAAATTTCACTCTCATCATTTTTCATAACGCGCCTAAGGAAGTATAACTTCAAAAATACTTTTCACAAAAAATAATGAGTGATTAAGAAACAAATTTTGTTGTACCTATAAATTTTTAAATATCTATATATTTTGCAACATTAATTCAACGAAATCTATTAAGAAATATTTTTATTATTTTGTATAAGTTCATTTTATTGAACATTTTAACACAGCGTCTTTGAGTTTGAGATGCGTCAAAAGGATTTTTGCAGTCACCTGATAAACGTCATTTCTACAATGTAAAGCGACTAAATTAGAAAGTGCTAATTTGTCTTAACGTCTAACATCAAATTGGGGTTTTCTAAATACCAGCGTTGTAGGTATTTGTTCCCGAAGAGTGATTTCACTAAAATTTTCCCATTTTCACTATCTACACACTTAGGTACGACATCATTGTATCGTTGGAATAACTTTGGAATGTAAGTATGCTCACCTTTTATTTAAGCTATATTTTTTTTAACTAAACCGGCAACTCCCAAAACAAACAATTGCGTAATACTGGTAAGATTCCGGTCTGTGTCATTCTGCTAGTCAGGACACTGAGCAAGGTCATGTATAATCTCGCTATCTATAACTAGGTAAGTACCAACATTAATAATCAATAGATTTAATTACCTAAATTAAATAAAGAATTAAAAACAATCGATGAAATGACGTTATTTTGATTCTAAAATTAAAGCACTTATTACTGGGTTATCTTTATCTTTGCCAATACAATTTTGTTTCTTATCAATATGGAATTTGTTCCAATTATTTAATAATTTAGTTCTGTTTCGAAATTTGTTTATTATGGAAGTGCTATTTGCTGACTTGGATCTTTTAGAAAGGTATGAAATAAATTACTATTATGATGTATCTGTCTTCTTGAATATTAAATAGGTACCTAGTAGTAGGTTATAAATCTCTGGTTATAATGACAGTGTAGTAATCATTCTCTTGTATCATTGCTTGTATCATTAATTTTTAAAATTTGATTTGAAGATTATTGAGGCCCTGCTGTGCCAAAACATTAAAAATGTTTTGGCACAGCAGGGCCTCAATAATCTGAACCTTATTAAAACAAGTATGAACGCTTCTATGAACTGAATGATCCCTGCCCCTGTATATCTGCCATTTCTTTCCAATATTATCATACTTTAAATGTATTTATAACAGCTTTGAATGATTAAAACATAGTTTTCATTAAACAGTTATGTTTTATTGTAAAAATACCTTTTAAACTGTCTACATTCTGAATACTTCAAAACTATATAGAATATAGTATAAATGTTGGGCATTTGGATTATTGAGGCCCTAATGTACTTATAACAAGTGATTAAGTAGTTTTCTTTACTTGGTAATTGCTGAAGAAGGATCTAGATTTGAATCCTCTTCTAATAAATGTGTTGTTTATAACTGTATGTGTATAAGACTGCACAGAAATGCTTAAACCATCCTTGCCTACCTGAACCCAGTCCCCTACATTATCTCTCAGTCCTACTAATGACCAACACCACCAAAAGGTAGTGTTATATAAGATACACTGTATTAGTTGGATGTGTACTCCAACATTAGTAGAAAATGTGGTATACCTTAGTCTCAGTAGCATGGCGGGCTGTTTCTGCAACTCGACACCCAGTGTCTATTTTGCGCGGGGATTGGCATCAGTCCTGCCATCCCAGCTCCTCCAGAAAGCTCAGCATTTTGCTGCAGGCTTCTACGAGTGTCTGCGGGCTCCCCATTAGAGAAGTCCTTTGTCTTGCAATTTTTGACCACCTCCATGGCGCGATTGGTATGTATGCTAGGTTTCCCATTGTTGCCTAGGTCCTAGGTTCGAATTCCAGTGGGACAAATGTTTTTATGTTGAATATGAGCATTTGCAACTGATTCCTGGATGTTTATATATATTTCTAAATAAATATAGTTATTTACGTATCACTTTATTATGTATTCTCTCCGTTACCCTAGTATCCCATAGTAAAAGTCTTCCTGTCCTTACTTTGAGGCTAGGCTAATTGGTTTGAGTGTTAGTAATGTTTATTTTATTTATTTGCTTTTTATGATATAATTATGATACAAGTACCTACCTATTATAAGTAAACAGTTAATTGAAATTTAATCTAAAATACATAACTTGGGATAATTCATTTCCACTGTTGGAATTTTAAACAGACAGCTTTTCAGTCAGCCATAATGGTGTATTACATAAACAAGAGAATACACACTCATGTTACCAAAGCTTGTCTTTTACAGTTTATAACTCCCTTAATAATTTATTTGGTCTGTCTTTTTTCCTTTTGTGTTTTTAACAGAAACTCTTTCAAGTTAAGGTTTAACAAAGATTATATTATTATTTTGATAATATATGAGGTAACATAAAAGTAAATCATTACATTAATAAAATCATTAATAATAGCTATTGGGAGAAATTTAATAAAGTTTTTGCCAAGGTAATATTAAACAGAATTAGTCAGATACTAGGTGAGAAACAGCCTATAGAACAAACTGGATATAGGAAAAATTATTCAACAATTGACCACATTCACACCATTAAACAGATCATGGAACGTAATAACGAATATAACAAATCTATATATAAAGCTTTCCTTTCATAGACTACTTAAAAGCCTTTGATACTGTAAATCACCAATCTATCTGGTCAACTTTAGCAAAACAAGGAGTACCCGGATCATATAGTGCAGTTTTAAGAGAAATCTACCAAAACAGTTCAGCAACAATCAAATTAGAATCACTAGGCAAAAAAATGACATAAAAAGAGGAGTAAGACAAGGGGATCCACTGTCACAAAACTTTTTTCTGCTGTTTTGGAAGACATTTTCCGCAAGCTCCACTGGGATCAGTATGGGTTAAAGATAGATGGAAGAAGGCTAAGTCATCTAACCTTAGATATTGTGATCTTCGAGGAAGACCCGAGGCTCCTGGAGAGAACGATAAAAGAATTATCTAAAGAGAGCCTTACTAAAGTTGGACTAAAGATGGACCCTGATAAAACGAAAGTTCTAACCAACTCATCTAAAATTGCTATTCAAGTCAACAATCTTGCTTTGGAGTATGTGCAAAAATATATCTGTCTTGGTCAAATTATTTCAGCCAGAGATCAAACTTCTAAAGAAATACCTTATGGATAGCCAATGGGTGGAGAAAATATTGAAGTCTGAAGGAGATAACCAAAGCTAGTAACCTAAGCATATCACTGAAAAGAAAAGTATTTAATACCTGTATCCTACCATGCCTATACAGATGTGAAACTTAGTCACTAACAAAACAACACCGAGATAAACTTGAATACTGTCAAAGAGCTATGGTGAGATAGATGGAAAAACGGAGAACTCAGACGGAAGACCAAAGTAACTTGACATCCTGACCCTAATAGACCAACAAAAATGGAGATGGACAGGCCACATGATACGTAACCAATCAGAAAAATGGAGTTAAGTTGTTACCAACTGGTACCCCAGAGATGGCAAAAGAAGCAGGGGACGGCAAGTTATTACATGGGCAGAGAAGCATAAATAGTCGGTGGGAGTTTACTGGAGAAGAATAGCCTTAAACAGATCTGAGTGGAGAAGATTGGAGGCAGCATTTCTCCAAAGATTCGGCTGGACATCCTGTCGAGGCTGGGGGAGGCCTTGTGTCACTGACACGCTACATTATCACTAAAGAAAAAAATTCAAATTTTCAATCATATTTTATAAACTGGTATTTTTAATAAAGGTTTTTTTATTTTATTTTAATTTTATTAAGTGAAATGGTTTGTTATGGATCATATGATAAAAAATGTATTTCCATAACCTCTTTTTTCAGACACAAAGAATACATAACAGCAATGGCGAATTGGTCTGCTCTCGGTTCAATAATTCTCCCTAATGTGGGAGGTTGGGCCAACGGGTTATACTTTGCTGGTCAAGTACGCTCTGAACAGAAATCCTGGTATGACGACTTGAAGAAGGCTCCATGGAATCCTCCTAAGTGGGTGTTCGGTCCAGCTTGGACAGTTCTTTACAGTGGCATAGGATATGCTTCCTATTTGGTATATGAAGAATGCGGTGGTTTCACAGGTAAGTCGATAAACATAAATAGTTCTTGTTAATATCTTCTCAGTCTCTAATTATTTAATGTATCTATACCTACCTACACTGTTATAAATAATATAGTATTAAGATAAGTCTGGGTAGTATAGTATTAAAATAACAATTTGTGGATTTAATTGCCTGAAGATGATGGTAAATGTTGTAAATAAGTAAAAATGAGCTTATATTAGTTACTTAGATTAGGAACAGTTGGTTAATTAATGAAGTACTAAGTTTCTAATAAGTAACCCTTTTTCTATCAAGAATTTACAGAAAATAAAGATGGTTACCTATCTTCTTTAGAATTTATCTAGAATTTCAAACTCCTGTAAAATGTAAATTTGTATATAGACTCGCCTTATGAGACCGTTGTGAAGATTGTGGACCTACATATCCAGTCTCACAACAACAAGTTTCATTTTAATTTAAATATACTTAAAGTTAAATGTTTCTTTTCATAACTGATATGATTTTTTATCATAATGGGTCATTAATTAAACAAAAGCATAATGCTTATGTATCTTAGTTATTAATAGTCATTTGTGTTCTATTAAGAAATAAGCTTTTGTACTGTGCCCTGTTGGTACTGTGTTACTGTGTTACTCAAAGCTTTTCTTGTGACTCCCCTAAGCCCTGACTGACAAGTCTGATCGCGACCCGACCAGCAGCCTATAAAGAGGGTCCGATCGAACTGTCAAGAATTATGAATAAATCTAATAAGTAGTTCTTTATATGCACTCAAATGTTTTAAGAAATGATAAGTGTGATTGAAAACTTAAGAAATAAATATGAATGATATATTACAATCTGGAGCCTACTCCAGTAGTACTCCACAAGTATTCTGGGTACTGGGTACCCTAGTACCCAGAATACTTGTTAGCACAGTAAAGTCTCTCACTTGATAAGATAATCATCATGTTGTTGGGTGGCTCAGGCACACTATACAGGTTTTATCATTATCAAAGATTACGTTTGCTTATTAGTAATCATAAATTCATTCTGTTTCTATGGGCTCTATTCCAAGTAATAAAATGCAGAGTATCTTTTATACAAAGTGCAAGCTAAGTAAGTGTAATAGGAATTTGTACTCTTATGGATGGCTAACAATCGGGAGTCAATGAATTCAAAACTGATGCACTTGCTTATGTTTTTAAGTCTGATATCCTATTTTTTATACGAACGTGCCACGAATGTGCCAATCGCGCAATCTCTACCCGTTTAATTACTTCACTCAGGTTATATGCTTATATATATATGTTATATGGATGTTTATCACACTAATATTATAAAGGCGAAAGTTTGTGTTTGTGTGTGTGAGTTGTGTGAGTAATGTTTGTTACTTCTTCACGTCTAAACGGCTGGAGCGATTTTAATAAAATTTGGTATGGAGTTAGCAGACACCCTAGATACACACATAGGCTATTTTTATCCCGAAAAAATGTTAGGTTCCAGAGGGATATTCAAGAAACTAAGTTAACGCAGACGAAGTCGCGGGCGACCTCTAGTCTGAATTAAATTATTATTATTATTAATTTCATTATAATAAAAGTACAATTATTGGTAGGTATATAATAATATATAATATATATATATAAAAATGAAACCCGTTTTCCGTTGTCACGACATAACATGAAAACGGCTTGACCGATTTGGCTGATTTTTTTTTGTAGTTTTCTAATACTCTGTACAAGGTTCTTACGGAAAAAAATATAACGAAAATCTCTCAGAAAGATTGAAAAATATAACGTAACGAATGTCAACGTCATTCAATTTAAAACAAAAAATCTGTGGTAATCTGTGACACCTCATCGATAACCGCGCTGGCAAATGTCAACGTCATTCAATTTAAAAGCTATACAAAATAAAGTAGTGCATCAAAGCTACGCTAAGGCGGTACGAAGTTCGCCGGGTCAGCTAGTAATATTATACAAATCAACATTGAATTTATTGACATCAGAGGCTCAAGCACGAATTTTTGACAGCACCGTAACGTATCGCATCGTCAAAGTTTCTATGAAAACAAAACAACGCCCCTATTGGACTTAAGAACAAACTAGCTATTCCATACAAAATCTGACGATGACGATACGTTACGGAGCTGTGAAAAATTCGTGCTTGGGTCTTAGGAGACTGAAGTTAACCTAATTATTATCTTAAAAAAAATGTATTTGTGGCGTGTCGAATACAGTTCTTAAAATGTTGTTTTGTTTATTCTAGAGGAAGCAGTCCTACCCTTATCTCTGTACGGCGGTCAGCTACTCCTGAACTGGGCTTGGACACCCATTTTCTTCGGACTGAAGGATTTCAAGCTGGTAAGAAGTCCTAATTTTAAATGCCTAATAGCAATCACAGATACAGGGCGTCCCACGCAGTGGCGGCGCTAGGCGTCGGCGACGTCGGCCACCGCCGACGGCCTCGCAAAAAATTTTTACAAGTTACCTATTTATTTTCGTTTCTCCTGGCCTGGCTTAGGTAGCCGACCCCGAACAATTCGGGATAAAAGCTAAGCAGATGATAATGACTTTTATTATTTTCGAACACGTGCGTGATGGAAGCGAGTAGTACTTTACGGGTATTCAGAATCGTCTGTCTGGCAACACTATTTTTGTAATTAAATTTCTATGTTTGTAATTATTTTTTGTCATCATTTGATTATCAACAATAAAACTCGTTTACTCATACGTTATTTTATAATTTGGCTCAATTAATTTAACGGTTTTTAACTGCGAAGTAAAATAGGCCTCGCGAACTTGATGTCGCCGACGTCCACATGTGGTCTAGCGCCGCCACTGGTCCCACGGCTATGCCACACGGAGGGAAAGTATATTAAATATTGACAATGGGATATTTTACTGATAGAAGACATCAAAATACGAAAAAAAAATTAAAAATAGCCTGCTACATCCGCGATTCGAACTCGTGAAATGTGAAAAATAATCCACATGCATTTTATAATAACAGTCGAAATGGTGAATCATAAGGATTATTTTTTCCTTAATAACGTAGCATTTTTAATGAAAGAAAAGTCATGAAATTTAACTATGAACAATACATTTCGACTTAATATTAAAAATAAAATGATGTCATCTTTAAGTATAAAATCATATCTTTAATAAATTAATATACTTTCCTTCCGCGTGGCATGGCTGTGGGGCGCCCTGTCTGTCTTTATCGTTGTTGTATAATTTATAGTCATAAAAGAGGTTAAAATAATTTGAACAGAACAAAGAACATGAAAGATTCCTAACTCAGCGGATTTATCCCGTATTAATCAGCTGATGACAATGATCGTGTTTCGTGAAATAGGCGCTCATTGAGATAGTGGTTCTGTCCGGGGCCGCGACGGTTACTACGGCTTCCTTCTTCTCTGTGAACAAGACTGCCGGCTGGCTGATGGTGCCATACTTGGCGTGGTTGGGTTATGCCACCTCTCTTTCGTACTACATCTGGAAGAACAACCCGCAGTCGCCCAAGATCAAGGAGATCAAAGACGAGAAGACGAACAACTAAAGGTAATATTTATTTAATTATTAAAAACTAGCTCTTGCTGCCTTTTGAGAACCTCATGGGAATCTTAAAATTTTTTGGGGTAAAAAGTATTCTATATCGTAATCCACGTAATAAATCATAATGTATTTTATGTGTGCCGAATTTAAAAATTCGTAATCTCAAATATAGGTATCCAACATTAAAAATAGCCCGTTAGAGGATAGCTGTCGGATAATGTTCGATCGAGTTTTTTTTTGTGCTTTGGAAGGCACGTTAAGCCGTTGGTTCCGCCCGCTTCTGCAGTTGTTAGCACCCAATAATCTGCACTGGGCTCGCGTCAAAGGGATAGCCAGCAGTGAGGACATTTATCATTAATCGCATTTATCACGGAGAGTGTTGTGAGGAATTGTTCGGATCAGTTCCAGCTGCTGCATGTCGCCATCGTACATCGCGACAAAAATTTCATCCCCATCATCTTGATGCGTGGCTATCCACAACCGTGCGTTTTTGTCGAATTTCACGTACGACAAAACTGTGGAATATATTGTCGCCAGCAGTGTTTCCGGACCAATACGAAGGCCGGCATCGCATTTGTGATACTCCTGGTGTTGCAAGTGTCCATGGACGACGGTGATCACTTACCATCAGGTGAGCCGTCTGCTCGTATGCCACCTATAACATAAAAAAAAAAAATAGGTTAATGATGACGATAATTAGTTTACCCGACAGACGTTGTCCTGCCCAACTGCAACGCCATCTACTGGGGTCCAGTTGTGAATCTAAACCACTATGAGATCCACTCGAATGCACAAATTACAAAATTTATTTAAAACGGTCCAGCCGTTTAGGGGAGGTCCGTTACATACGCAAAAACTGAAGAATTTCACATAATAATGTAAAGATTAGAAAAATAACAGCATTAATTTTCATACATGTAGGAATTAGAACATTCGGTTTAAACTATTGCTTTGATAATTTCGTACTTTACCCGTATCAACTTTAATTTTTTTGACTAACTTGGCTCTATACTAAATTGATCAATATCGGAGTATAAGCACCTACTTGGTCTATAATCTGAGATTGTGTTTTAGGGTTCCGTACCACGAAAGGAAAAAACGGAACCCTTATAGGATCACTTTGTTGTCCGTCCGTCCGTTTTCTCAGGAACGCGTGGTGGTATCAAACTGAAATTTATATCAAATACTCAGGTCTACTGTCACTTGGAGCTGTGAAAAAATCTAACTTCTAAGCCTATGCAATCAAAAGATACAGCCGTTTATTCCGAAACTCACAAAACTTCCCGTGAACTCAGAAGCTTAAAATTTGGTACGAAACAACGTCTTATAGCACAGATGAAGGAAAAATTGCTAACATCACATTTTTTTTAGTAATAACTTTAACCTTCAGGTTTGTACGGAACCCTCGGTGCGCGAGTTCGACTCGCACTTGACCGGTTTTTTATAAGTGACAAAGGTGGCAAAATATGCAAATGCGAAGTTTTATTTCCACTTATTCACACTATCAAATAAAAATAGTAGTAATAATGGAAGATAAAATATTCCATGTAACGTTGTATCAACAAGTGGATCGTAGAACAAAATGGCTTTTTCCGTTCTTTTAGTTAAGTCAGTACCCCAAGCACGAACTATGACACATCCGTAATCGTATCGCAATCGTTGTTAGCTTACCGGACGTAAAAAGAAACTAGGTCCTTCCATAAAAACTTTGACGATGGTGATACGAACACGGATGTGTCAAAGTTCATACTTCGCACAGAACTCTTAGTTACTAATAGTAGATTAGTACTACTAGTAGAACTAGGAGTGGCATTTACTTTAGTAATTACAAAAGACGCATTGTATGTCATTATTGAAATTAAATTTTGTTTCAGATATTTGACTGCACGAACGCGCTTTACTTACTTAGTAATAAGTATAAACTTAGACAAAAACGTGTTCATATTTAGTTATGTACGCATAATATGCAAGCAACAGTCAGTCAATTTATTTATCATTTAGTCTTAAAACATCGAAATAAAATTTAATAATGTGTAATTACATCTATAACTTATTAATTTTTACTAACTATTTTTTCTGCAAGGCACAGTTGTAGAAGTGGAACAAGTCTGCCACTAGTGAACAAAACATATTGTAATACTTGCTTGTTTTTATTCAAATATTGACAGTTTGTTTTACTTATTATAACCATTATCTGGTAGTCTATTATCTAATCTTCTATTTGAAATTATTGACATTATGTTGATAGCTAAAATTAGTCTTCACATTCTAGCAGCCATATTCCTGAGTGACAAAAAATAGTTTTTGGACTGTACAAGAGTCAAAATACTCAAAACATATCACATAACTAATTCTAAAATCTAAAACAGTTGTCATATGTTGACCCTTGAAGCAAGTTTTTATTTCTTGACAGGAACACATTTTTTATCATCATTGTTAAAAAAAATATTGGTGTGATTATTACCTATTTTTGTTTATATCCTCTGTTTGTTAAGAGGTTGCTTTCATCACTTTGAGAACTGCTGCTGGTTGGTGGGTGGGAAAAGAAACAATGAATAATGCTGCAATAAAAAATAATAAGTGCAATATATGTTTTTTTTAAATTCAAATGTACAGATGTAATTTGGATTAAAAAGTTTTTCGAGGATCGAACGCACAAAATGTTTTTATATTATTTTATGCTATGTGCCAGCCTTCTTAGTGTGGTAAGAGTAAGTGTGTGAAAATATCAAGATTGATAAGATGCAACTATATTTAAAGTTTATACTACTATTTCTACAATAGAACCAACGTTTACAATTGATTTAAGTTATCTTAAAATAACAATATAGCAGGATACAGGTATTTGCTTTAACTAACCTCAACAATAGAAAGAAATATTTAGCTAGATCAGTTAATCTTGATATTTTGTGTGAATTATTTAAGAAAAAAGTGACCTTTGTAGAAATCTTCTGCGCGTTATAACTTAGTGTTGTCATTCCTATCGCATTTATGATGGTTGTGTAACAATGTTTGGGAAATATATATGTTCTATAAGACTGGACTAACCAGTATTCTCTTGATAATGTATTTGCTTCTTTTCGAATATATTTATTGTTCCACGTTATACTGTACAATAAAATGTATCAAAAATATTTGTGCGATTTTATTTTTCTTATTACTGGCTGGCTGCTCTTCTTCTGGACTAACATAGGTTTGCTGGAGTGTGAGGGAATGTTTCGTGATACGCACAATGGTTACGTTGTAACTATTAAGTAATCTGTGATGGTCCAATAATTAGGACTAGGTTGAAACTGCTCTGGAAAACTAAAACTAAACGCGTTAAATGTCAAGAAGTTTTGTATGGGAATTTTAACAGCGCCACAACGAACGAAAAGTGATTTATCTTCCATGCAAAACTTCTTGACATTTCACGCGTATCGAGATCAAAATTCAGCTATGCGAATTCTCTATTGGTTCGTTGTAAGGGAACAGTTCTTTTGTAGACATAATTAGGCGAAAGAACTTCAGGACAGTAATGAAAATTGTAACGACACTAATTAAGTAAGCGTTTCCACTTCTTTACTATCTATATACTTACAGAAGAAGAGACAAGTACATGCACGTCTCGTGGATACTTAATGAAGGCAAATGATCTATTTGAATTATATGACAGTGCTTCCATTACGATACACACAGGCAAGCGCTCCAATCAGCGCCAATTCCAGCTTAATATAATATCTTGACTTGTCTTTTTTTTATCGATAGGTCCGACAAAGGACTCCACCCCACCTGATGTTAAGTGAAGGCGAAGTCCAGACGCGAAGATAGCTGATACAGCAGTTCTACCTGCCACACCAGCTATCTTCACCCTGCCGGCCTGAATGTTGTTTCTTCACGCCTCTTTTAAAGGATCCCAGGTTGTAAGAAGGAGGGAACACGTGAGCGGGCAGAGCATTCCATTTATGGATAGTGCGACAAAGAAATGAGTCATCAAATTTCTTTGTACGCGTTGGAATTGTGGCCACAGTCGGACGGTGACAACGTAGGCCACCGCGCGTGGTCCTCTGATGGAATAAGAGAGAATAACTCCTCAGAACACTCCGTGGTACAGACGATAGAACGCACTTAGTGACGCCACGTCACGGCGTAATTGAAGAGGCTCGAGGTGTTTAGTCACCTCCTCATCGCCTATGATGCGGATCGCGCGCCGCTGTAACCTATCCAAAGCATCGAGCAAGTACTTGGCGGAGCCATCCCAGAGGTGCGAGCAATATTCCACGCAGGACCGCACTTGCGTTTTGTACAACAAGCACAGTTGATCGGGCTTGAAAAAACGCCGCACCTTGTTCAGGACTCCGAGTTTGCGTGAAGCTGTTTTGATCACGGTTTCGATGTAGTCCTTTGGATTCAGGTCTGAGCGAACTTCCATACCGAGCGTGGTAATTTTGCTCTGTAGCGCCAGTGGTGTGCCCTGAAGAGAGGGAAGGGGAAGGAATGGCGATGTTTTTGCCGTAACTCCCCATTCGGAAATGTGGTCCAATACCTGATTGAGTTCAATGACAATATTCTCCCGTTTCTCCTTGGTTACCGCCTGCCTAGGCGCTGCTTGTCCGAAATACCACGCATTCACTGTACTATCGTCTGCATAGCAATGAATATTCTCAAGAGGAATTAAGTCACTGATATGCAGCAGAAAGAGAGTGGGGGATAGGACGGAGCCCTGGGGAACGCCTGCCTTCACTGACATGAACCGCGAACTGCTACTATCCGTAAGGACACGAATTCTACGCTCATGCAAGTCAGATACTGAAGAACAGAACTGGGCCGGCAGACCGTATGCCAGAAGCTTGGAGAGAAGGCTTTTGTGCCAGACCCTGTCGAACGCCTTGACAATGTCTCTCGCCACGCTTGTTGATAGTCTCACCTCAGATATGAGTAAAGTAGGTATAAGATCACCCGTCGATCGTTTCGGTCTAAAACCATATTGACGATCATTTATCAGGGAGTGATCCTCTAGGTAGCGGGTCAGATGGTTGTTAAGGACCTTTTCTTGAACTTTACATAATACTGAGGTGACTGCTATTGGCCGATAGTTTGCCGGGTCTGTGCAATCCCCTTTTTTTGGGCACCGGTTGCACGTTAGCATCTCTCCAAGTCTCTCACAAGTAGGATTACCAGGCCTAAAAATGCAAAATCCTGTCTGACATGTCTAAAAATCCTGATTTTGAAAAAAATGTCCGGTCACGCACCTGTATTAAATAAAAATCATAGTATTTAAGTACGTTTTTATTTACTTATATTATTTAGACCCCTATTTTTAGTATTTTTGGTTGCTAGCAACCGCATGCAAAAAGTGTTTTTTTCCAGCTATTTAGCAATAAAATTGTTCACAATCACGTGTTTATGGTTATATTGCGTGCGGCACCCATCGCTTTTGAGCGGGCGGGAGGACATGCAAGTATGACAAAAATCCGGTCTGACGTAAAATCCGGGCGGACTCCGGTCTGACACGTAAAAATCCGGTCTAGACCGGCTTTATCCGGTCAGGTGGTAACCCTACTCACAAGTACTTGTCATTTGAAAGGTCTCTTGATGAGACCATATCAAATAAACCTTGAATTTCGAGTTACCTGAGAAACTTTACATGCTAATTCACGCAACAATTTAGGTTACATTTCCACAATAAAAAGAGTTCAGGTATAATTCCTTAATTTGCCGCCATGTAAACCATGCGAAAAATGTTATAAGATACCTACCCACGCAATATGCACAACCGACTACGCGCACTGGCTCCGGCTCATGCATGTCGCTTTTTTTACTGGGATATCATTTCGATATGGATTTTACGGAAGGCGTGAACACACACACACACACACATACTACACCAAACACACACGTACACACTCATTTACACAAATTTAGTCATCATGCCCCATTTATAATTTTGATTTATATAGGTATTTATAATTATCGCGAAATTAATTTGAATATTTGTTGGTATTTCTTTTTATATTATTGTTAATTTGTAATTTCTACCCTATGCAATCATTTTAATTTTCAAATTGAATACAAAGTGAGTTTCTGTAATTGGCTAAAGTACCGTTTAAACCTTGTTGATGGTAAATAAATAAAATAAAATGATTTACTTATTCGAAAAAAATCTCCACGTTAACTTTATAATTTTGTAATTATGAAACCTGAACAAATTTAAATATTATAAAATGATTCAAAATAAAACCTACTTTTCAAATTTACATTCGTTAAATAGATAATAAAAAAAGGTATGTTATTTTCCATTTTCATTAAAATTTCATTTCATCATTTTCCATAAAAGGTATGTTATTTACAAATATGCGCCGTTTTAGGATATTTTGTCACTGATAAAAATCAAAAATGTTGTATGGGGGTGTTAGTACGTTTACCGCTTATAACTGTTAGTACTATTTTAATTTACTCGATTTTTAAGTTTCTCATGTAATTCAAAATTATCGGGTTATATACAAATATAGTAAATAACAGGTTATATACAAATATAGTAAGTAACAAATATAGTAGTATTAATATTAATAGCATAAACGGCTTTACCTGTAAAACGAGATAAATACTAGTTTTTTTTACTTTTTAGTTATTTTTTTACGGCATTCGTGTTCTTTAACTATTGAACTTGTTAAAATTTATAATAACTGAAACAAAATTAATAGACCATTTATTTTTACGGTACACTAGTTATATAGTTTCAAAAGAAAATCTCCTTAACACCTTTTTAAAGAAATCAGAAAGAACAACATTGCCATTTTTTTGAGAATCCGCCGACTATATATTAACTGCTGACAAAAAGACCGAGAGAAAGGGCCTCTTTATTACTCACTACACCATTGTCATAACACCCTTTGCCTTTAAAATTGCTCTTCGT